TTTTCATAAATGTTTTTTTTTTTTGGGAAGCTACCATAAAAACAACAGGAAACTGATTTAATTAACGAACATATTTGATTAACAAATAGATGAAATTGTCTAGAAAATACATATTTTTCTAGTTAAATTCGATTTTTATATAAATGTTGGCTTTTATTAATTAAGATTATTTTATTTAAAAAACGCTATTAATTCTATCTATAAAGTTTTTTTTATCACTAATAACTGCTTTGAACAAAGTGTGAATAAAACATTCGGTTACTTCAAAAGTAACACTGTCGAATGTCATAAAATATTAAGAAGTTTATTTAGCTCCCTCTTTTCTAAGCCCTTGGATTTTAGTTAGCTTTTGATAGAGACGCTTTGATAGATACCTCCCTAGGTCTAGGCCACCTTACGATTTGCTGCTGCTGCTTTTCCCCTGAAACAGAAAACAGATCTCGAATGGAAGTCGGAATTTGTGTGCCCGGCCTGGGGGCGTTTTTGGGGTTTTATTTTTTAGAGTCGAAGAGTTGGGTTTTGCTTTGCGGCTCGTTCGTTTTGTCTTCTGTGTTTTTTGGCGGCAAATCAAACCGACTTTATGAATTTGGCAAATTGGCTTATGGGCAGCCGTAGCGTCGGCAAACCAAAGCGACTTGATGGACGACCCAGCTCCATCTCTATATATAAGTGAGGCTCCAGTCTGTATCCCAATCCCCAACCCCCAATCCCCCAATCCCCCAACCACATCCCAATCCCAATCCTATCTATGCGTGCCAAAGCGCCAATGGCGTTTTATTCTGAAGTTGGGTCCGGCGTTTATGAGCTGCCGACTGCCGTTGACTTTTATTTATTTAATGTTTTGGCTTTAGTATGTGGTTCTTTATTATTTTATTTGGCTTTTCCTGTGGCAGCGCAGCGAACCTGTTTGCCCGACTGACTACCTGCAGAAAGGAGAGACATCGATGCAAAACTGGATTAGGTCCCTTTTTTCGCCCTAATCCGCACTGTTCCTGGTTCTGGTCCTTGTCATTCTTGTAATACGCAGAGTGGCATGGAATCCTGACCTGAGACATGGCGCCAGTCTCTTTGTTCCCGGGCTAACACTAATGGGATCAGCAATGCTGTCTGAGCCCTGGCGTGAAATCCGCAAATGTTGTTTACCCTAGCCCGAAAAAGGGGTTGACCCTTGACCTCTCCCTAACTGCCTACCTCCCTACACCCACTCTTGAAAGTACACGCCACACAGTAAATAGGTGTCTCAGTGTTTATTTGTTTTCAACTGGCACTTCTCTTGAAGACTGCCAAAAACAGAGTCTGCCCGATCGCATGAGTCAACAGAAAAGAGCCGTGGCAATGGTCTCGAAAAAGTTCGCATCGATGCTGATGGGAAAATCGGGCAAACAATGAGAACCGAGAAAGGCGCACAAAGCTCTCGAAAGCCGAATCAAGATATGGTACTATACTATATATATATATATTGTATATATGTGTTCAGGTTAAGTACTGATCCGGCCATCATTATGGCTTTCGATAGCAATTATCTGCTACCGTTTAATTGTGCGCTGGCGATTTTGTGGGCCGCTGCTGCTTGATTTTTCACACGCACTCGCTGCTGCCCACCTGGTCTTGCCCCTCCCCTTCCGCCCCCTTTTCCCCCACCCTTTTCTACAAAATGATTGAGCCACCACCACCCACCTTAGTTCACCCTCTCAGGGAAACTCTGTGAATGCTGTCATGTGTCTAATGAGTCGCTGGCCCAGTTCGCAACTTGGCCCGAAGTTCGCGTTCTCTTTGTGTAATTTGCACACTTGCATGGGCATTTTGCATTTCCCATTTCCCATTTTTCCCCATTTTCCAGCTAGAACGCACTCCGATAGACGGATGGGCTAGCCTGAAACTTTTCGAGTAATTTGCATATGGAACTTTTAAATCATACTGCCCGAAGTTCGCCTATGACACCTGGGCTTACGTCTGCAATCGCAGGAGGAGCAGCTGTTCCATCGGACACATTTATCAAGCTAATGGGCGATATGGCCAAAAATAGCTGGGATTCTCTAATGCAGCTGCTTTTAGATATCCTAATTTATTGTTGTTTCTCTTGTAGGTAAATAACAATGAGGTAAAGTCAATATTAGTTAGCTAAATAGCTATAAATTATATTCAATAGTTTTTGAGATTTACCTTTTAGATATTTACTCTAATTTGAAATTCAAAAGTATTAATTTAAGTAAATCCATCAAATTCATAAAAAAGTCACAGAGCCAAAAATAACTTTGATTTTTCTTTAAGAAGTTAATGCAGCTACACTGATATAAAAATGGGATAGTAAAAATAAATATCTGACTATAGAATTATAAATAGTATTTTAAATATTAAAATAAAATATTAAATCATTATGTTAATACTTGGATTTACTACGTTTTTTTAACAATGGTAGCATAAAAGGGAGCATAAAAGAATATTGATGTACTTATTAAGTAACAGTGAGGTAGGGCCAAAATTAGATAGCTTTAAATGATTAGACTATAAACTTATTTAAATAGTTTCGCTTTATTTATAATAGGGGGACAGGGGGTAAAAATAATTTCAGCTTATGCAGTTGCCACTAGACATTCCAATTTATTGCTCTTATTATTAGATAACAGTTAGATAAAGCCAGTTTGCCTGTTTATATGTAGTCCTTTTTACACATTAAATAGTCACCATAATTTAAATTTCTTGCTTGAAATAATTTATTCATGTACGTGAAAATCTATTAAAATTAGGTTAAGTAAACCAAAAATGAAATGGCTTTCCCTTCGCAATCTTATTGGTCTCGGATTTGTTTGCAGATCGCGTGGTATCAATAATGTATTCAATGCACCTGCAATTGCGAGTGTGAATAGTGTGCCATATCATGCACTCTCTGAATATTTCCCATTTTTATGGGCGTCATAAAAAAATTTTCCAAGCCAAACAAACGAGGCGAGTCATCTCATCGAGTGGACAGACGCGATCACTTAATTACCTGTGCGAACTTTTTGAGTTGCGTTTAAGTAGGCGAGGGTACAGTGGGCACTCGCTACGGGGGCTAAGGGAGCGGCTGGAGCAACCGGTTACAGGTCGGACTGACATTTTCACCTTGTTAATTATGCGCACGGTCATGCAAAAATCGTGTAATGAGTGACGGCCATTGAGAGTTGCATTGTCAGCAGAGGATGATAGTTTAATTGTGGCGGTTCTGGCGAGGATTGGGTTTGGTTTGAGGCACGTATTAGCAGAGGTACAGGCCCGAGGGCTTCAATCGGCCATACTCTCCGTTTTCGGTAGCCGCCACCTGGATGTTCCGAATGCCTTCGTGCTCCAGCGACCTACGCTGCTCCAGAATTTCGGCCACCTCCTGGGCGGTCACCATGTGCTTCCTGAGCAGGCGCCTCCGCCGCGCGTATGGGAGAAAGTGCCCGTCGCCGTACCGCTGGCGACTCTCCAGGTAGATCTGGTCGATCCGCTGGTAGTGGCAGCTCTGCATCCGTGGATACCAGCAGAAGGTCTCCTCCCAGTGCCGCGTGGTCCGCTCCATGGCGTGGCTGAAGGCGAGCTGGTAGCGCAGCTGCTCCGTGGTCACTATGTCCGCCGGCATCTTGTTGTGTTGGGCCTTGTTTATTTAACTTGGTGTTTTTGGGTAGGTACCTATGGCTGGACCTTGTGGTTATGAAGTGGACACTTTGTGAAATGTGTGAAGTTTCTGGCCGGCCCACCTGATTGGCAGCTGAGTTCCCAGTCGGGATCCCGTTTGCGGTGCCCTCCCTAATCGCATTAGCAGCCAGCACTTGACAGGCGGCAGGTGCAGTGCATCCAGGTCACTGGGTCCTAAGCTGCCAGCCACCTGTGCAAAATACACCATTCTGCTCTCTCAAAACTCTTTTCTTGACACGCCTTTAATTTTTATACCCTTGCAGAGGGTATTATAATTTCAGTCAGAAGTTTGCAACGCAGTGAAGGAGACATCTCCGACCCTATAAAGTATATATATTCTTGATCAGCATGACTAGGCGAGTCGATCTAGCCATGTCCGTCTGTCCGTCTGTCCGTCTGTCCGTCTGTCCGTCCGTTTATATGCAAACTAGTCTCTCAGTTTTAAAGCTATCTGCATAAAACTTTCCCAAAAGTTGTCTTTCTATTGCAGGTAGTATATAAGTCGGAACGAGCCGGATCGGACGACTATAGCATATAGCTCCCATAGGAACAATCGGAAAAATAAATGAAAAAAAATTATAACTTTGCTGTTTTTTAATTTTTTGTTTTGTTCTTCGACATAAAGCAATGGTTAAATATTTCAGAATTATGGTAAAAATTTCATCAAAATCGGACGACTATAGCATATAGCTCCCATAGGAACAATCGGAAAAATAAATGAAAAAAAATTATAACTTTTCTGTTTTTTAATTTTTTGTTTAGTTCTTCGACATTTAGTAATGGTTAAATATTTTCGATTTACGGTTTAAATTTCATCAAAGTCGGACGACTATATCATATAGCTCCCATAGGAACAATAAAAATATATAAAATAACTATCAAATAATTGAGCTGCAAATCATCATAGCTTCAATGTTTTTAAACTTATACGCAAGTAAATTATAATTTTAATGTTTTCAAAAATGTTTAATTCTTGCAATAGCTGCAAGGGTATATGAACTTCGGCTTGCCGAAGTTTGCTTTCTTTCTTGTTTTTAATGATAATCGTTTATAAAAAAGTCTAAAAAAATATTTTAAACTTCTTTGATAACCTATATAAATTTATTTTGAAATTTGAACAAATTTTGTCGCTGAAAAAACCGAAGCACTGAAATATATATCTCAACGTATATTGAAAATAAAATAAAGCGAAGTTGTAATATTTTTATTTTTTTATTTTTCCGATTGTTGATATGGAAGTTATATTATAACTCTTTCTGTAAAAGAAAAACTAAAGTTGTATGCATATAGCCTTAAAACTGAGCGGCTAATTTAAGTAGAAGCGGACAGACTAACGGACAGACGGACAAGGCTAGCTTCCCCTGTGATGCTGTACATGAATATTTATAAGTTATTGGGCAGAAAATGTTTCATTCACTGTGTTGCAAAGTTTTGACTGAATTTATAATTCTATTTCCATTCAGCTCTTGGTGAAGTAGACCAGGACTTCGGTCCACGGAACGCCAGAAACCACAAAGGTCAAGTTCGCGAAATACCTGCCATCGGGGACTATCGACTGGAGCACCCTGTTCACGTACTGCACCGGCAACTTGTTCAGAACAAGGTCTTGCTGCAGGCGGAAAGGTAAACGTCATAACTATATAGCAGGACATCGCAGGACATACTTACATCGTAGGGACAGGTGTGGTTTATGTTCGAGTAGGACTCAAAGGTCTGAAACACCCAATTGGCAACCACGTTTTGGCGATCCCGCATGAACTTGCAAGCATCCACCTTGAAATCCAAGTTGTACATGAGTCGCCGGTTCTCCCGGTTCCTAAACTGAAACCTGGTCTAGTGAAATATAATATCGTTAGATTACCGGCAGTGTGAAATCTTTCAAAACTTCCATCCTCTTACCACGCAATTGTCTACGGGGAGATGGTGGATTTTCGTTTTTAACGAAAGGTACTTGTAGGTGCGATTGATGGACTTCAGGTAGCAGTATTCATATTCCATGAACTTCCGGTTCCGCACAAGACAGTGCACGTTATTGAACTCCAAATGACCACGGAGCTTTGAGATTAAAGTTTTTTATTTACCCTCGAAAACTATGTAAACATTTAATTCTTACTGCAATCGGTCCCATGGAAATCAACAGAATAAACATCACGGCGTTCATTCTGGGCAACGACTGTTTGGCGGTAACCATAATAAGGAATGTTTAAGCGCAGAACTATTTAAAGCGATAGCAATTAAAATAACTCGGTTCATTACCGTTCTAAAACAGACAAAAAATAGTAATCAATCAATGATTAATAACTACATTTTAAAATGTATCCCAAATACACTTCTCATAATGTATGAAAAATACACAAAAAGATAAGATCTTTAACTTGGTTTTATTTACATAAATATAATAATAATATTTTCTTATAATTGTTTCCTATGCGTTTATTTGTTTTTTTTAGTCTATTCCTTTTTTATAACAATACAAGTACCTCAAACATTTCTTAAGTTGTAACCCATAGTTTATTACTTAAGAAATGTTTTAGGTACCCCAGAAAAGACTTAAATAATAATATTGATTCTTAAAAACTATTCTAATTAGAATTCAAATTCTAAAATCCAATTGGCAGTATACTTAGCAAGGTTTCGAACCGTTTCTTAAGCCACTCTATCGGTGTTTTGAACCTTTATGCTTACATTTTAAAATGCCTGGTTTTTTGAGCACATCCAGGAACGGTCATACTATTCATTTGCCCATCCGCGTGCTCTGTTTATAATTTAGAAATTGTTAATTTTGCTAAGTAAGAATGGACGACGAGGCAGAAACGTACAAACTGTGGCGCATTCGCAAGACCATCATGCAACTGAGCCACGATCGCGGTTACCTGGTGACCCAGGACGAGTTGGACCAGACTTTGGAACAATTCAAGGAGATGTTCGGCGACAAACCCAGCGAAAAGCGACCCGCTCGCTCTGATTTAATTGTTTTGGTGGCCCACAACGACGATCCCACGGACCAAATGTTCGTCTTCTTCCCCGAGGAGCCCAAGATCGGCATCAAGACCATCAAGACGTACTGCACCCGCATGCAGGAGGAAAATATCCACCGGGCCATTGTGGTTGTGCAGGGCGGAATGACGCCCTCTGCCAAGCAGTCCCTCGTCGACATGGCCCCCAAATACATCCTCGAGCAGTTTCTGGAGTCGGAGCTACTGATCAACATCACGGAGCACGAACTGGTGCCCGAGCACGTGGTCATGACCGTCGAGGAGAAGCAGGAGCTGCTCAGCCGTTACAAACTGAAGGAGAACATGCTGATGCGCATCCAGGCGGGCGATCCGGTGGCCCGCTACTTCGGACTGAAGCGCGGCCAGGTGGTCAAGATCATCCGCTCCTCGGAGACGGCCGGTCGGTACATCTCCTACCGGTTGGTGTGCTGATGGGACCACAGACTCTTCAGGGATTCCCCGATCTAAATATGTAGCTTAAGAACTCTATGATTTAAGGGAGAGACAGCGACTTTTATAACGTCAATAAATCGCTAGCTTTTCAAAGGTTCTTGAGAGTTATTAGTGGGTTTGGTTTTGATTTTTACTATGAAAGCATATTTAGAAAATAAAGATAAAGTTATAGCTGCGTTGCTTGATTCTTAACATCAAGGCATATTTAAAATTCTTTTGATTTTCTTGACTATTTGTTTACCAAAGTATATAAGATAATCATTTATGACTTTGTTTTTTACAATTTTTAGTGTCGCCACCAAAATTAAAAAGTTGAATTTTTTTTGTCTTTTTACTGGTACAATTGTGGCTATTTACAAAAATCCTTTAATTCCATATATGGAATAGTATAACTATAAATATATTTACAAAATTCGACACTGCGTGAATGGCTGGCAACCGTTATTCTTTTATCAATACCCAAATGATGGCAATTCGTCGTGGGCCAGCGACGGTCACACTGATGAAAACAAAAAACAGAGAAATAGCGAGAAAATACACAATTATACAACCCGAAACGAAAGCGAGGCGAAGGAGTCGTAGGAGGCGTGTCTAGAGCAGCGGAGGAGCAGGTGACCATGGCCATGTTGACCCGCCTGACGAGCAGCGGCACCACCACGGTGGCCGGAGCAGGTGCACCCGGATCGCCGAAGGGTCTGCAGCGGTTCCAGAACTACATTGCCGCCTTCTTGTGGCCGGGAACGCAGCGCCAGAGACGGAAGTCGACGCAAATGAACGCCATCGACTGCTTCACCAACGACCTGGTCACACGGAAGACCCAGAAGTGGGAGGAACTGCGCGACAGCCTGATGAAGGGGCAATCCTCTGGCCTTGAGAAGGATGCCAACAGCAATGTGGCAGCACCGGCGGAGGGCACTACCACCACCTTTAGCCAGAACGTGGGTCTCATGTCCAAGGGCATGATGAGCGATCTCAAGGCACTGCGATCCCCCCAACTGGGACTGGACATCCGCTCGCTGTCGCAGGCGCAGCTGGACAACCTGCTGATGGCCACGCTGGAGATCAAGAACAAGCTGGACTTCCTCTACCTGATCCGGCAGTGCATCCGCTGCAATCTCTTGCCCTCCAACGAAGTGTTTGTCTCGTGCCTGAAGTATCTGAGTGCCCAGCGCAAGTTGCATCAACTGGAGGCGCTGGCGGACACGTGTCGCCAGCTTGAGCACCCCTTCTCCCAGACCTACGCGGATTTGGCTCCCTTTCGTGCCATTGCGCTGTGGAACAATGGGAACGCGGACGTGGCCCTGATGACCCTGCATCGCGGCTATGGTCTGAGCATGTCCTCGGAGGAGGGCAGGAAAATGGCGCGAACGGCTTTCCGTACCATTTCAGAGGAGACTCTGGCCCAGAAGAGCGAAGCCGTTCTGGTCTCGCTGCTGGAGGTGGCACGCGCCATTCACCGCGAGCACAAGGACATCTTCGTGGTGGCCTGTGTGTGGAAGCAGTGTTTCGCCAGCGATTGGTTCTGTGACCAGAAATCAGCGGGCGAACTGTTCGAGCACTACAAGGAGCTGCAAGAGCTGGTGGAGCGGAGGTTTGCTTTCTCAATTCCCTAGAAAACTGTAGTCTTAATCCTCTTTTTCTGTCCAGAGCCAGTCCCCTATGCTCTTCATTCCTGGGCCGCAACAACGTGGATGCCGTGCATCGTCTTATCGAGGTGTTTCTGCAGCATCAGCAGCGCTCAGCCTGCTCCAGCTGCCTCAGCCTGCTCTTCAACTATCAATGTGAGTCTTGAGTCGCCCGTCCTAAGTAACCAAGTAACTCCCATTCCTTTTTTGCAGACTTGCGCAAAGATCTCCGCGCCTGCGCTGAGATTGTGAAATCCTGCAGCGAGTTGGAGATGCCGCTGAACGAGCTGCAGAACGAACAGTTCCTCAGCCTGTTCCTCGACCAGAGCGAACCCTTGGACTCTTCGGGAGCGGCCAGCAAGTACAAGGCGCCCAAGTCCTTCCAGTACAAGTTCTAGTTGTCAGTTTGAGCACAAGTGTTTGCACCATTGAGCAATAGAAAGTAGCGATTCTTCAATAAATGTTATTTAATGTCCACGTTCAAGTGAGCCGCCGCCTTCATCCCGCATGTTGCCCTCGGGCAGTGGTTGCCCTGGCAGGATGCCCACGCACTCGTAGCAGCGTGAGATCAGGTGGTTGCCGCATCGATGTTGCAGGCACTGTTGACACCGCGTCCGGGATTTGGTGCCACGCTTGTTCCGAGCGCATGGCTTGCAGCGGCGATGCTTCTCGCCATAACGACTGGCCAGGCTAACGCCCGCCGGCAGGCCCATCTTGTCCGGCGTGAGCAGGCCCACGCTGTGGCTCAGCTTGGCCTCCCCGGTCGCCTCACTGAGCAGCCGCTGACTGGATTGGCCCAGGATCTCGCAGATCTGCAGCCGCATCACCAGCGATGTGCTCGTGGATCTGCGCTGAAGGCGTCGCTGCAACCTCTGTTGGGTGAGGAAGAGTCCCAGTTGGCGCTGAAAGTCACGCTGCTCCATGGCCGCCGCATCGCTTTTCGGTGAAAGTCGCAGCAGGATCCAGGAGTTGACAGCCGCCGCGTTGAGCACGAAATGGAGTAGTTGCAGGAAGGGATTGACCTGTGTCCTAAGGGCATTGGGCGTGGCATGGGCCGTACTAAAGCGCTGCGAGAGTTCGTGGAACTGTTGGCAGGCATGTGAGGTTTGCTGATAGGCCTGCATAGCATCCACTTGAGGGCTGAGACCGCAGCAGAAAACCGCCTCGCCATCGAGGGGAATGAGCTTGGAGGAGCCGCTAAACACGGTGGATTCGGAAGGCCACTGACGCGGCCAATCTGGCGAACTAGTCTCCAGCAATCCCAGCGAGCTGATCTGGCGCTGCCTCAGTTGCTCTGACTGAACGAGACTCAGGTGTCGCACGCCCAGCGTCACATTTCTCCCGGTGGTCTTAAAGTCGCAAATCAACTGCTCCACATCCCGGTCCGGGCATCTCTGGTTCCTGCTCACCACGGCATTGGCCATGTACAACGTTCGGGCGTCGCAGCACAGGGTCATCAGCGATTTGGCCACCGAGCAGGGCGCTTCATCCACGGCCAGCCAACTGCTGCATCCGTAGTAGGATCGGCAGTTGATGAGCAGTCGTTGCCACAGCTTCTGGCCCTCGGCCCAGCCGCAGTTGCCCGCCAGGCACTCGGAAATGCTCTCGAACCGGGCCAGGGTCATGGATGCCCGGAAGATGGCATTGCCCAGCTCCAGGGTCCACAGTTCCTCGAGCGGCCCACTGTGCCGGGCATTGCGGAACACCCCGCAAAGGTAGCTCAGGCCGAGGTAAGCCCGCAGCTCCACAATGTCCAGGGGTCGCTGCACTGTCGTGACCGTCCGCCGCTTGCGCAGCTGTTCGTTGACCTGGCGTAGCAGAGATCGCAGCATTTCATCGTCGAAGAGCAGCATCCAGGCCTCCACGGCATTGGACACCAGGCGGGCGGGGCCTTTGCCACAGGCTTGTTGTCCCAGGATTGGTAGACCCTCTTCAGGTCGCACCTGTGTATCCCTGGTGGCGCTCCACATCTGACCACTGGCGGATGTGTAGTGGCCGGAGTTGTTGGCTGGACGACCACGGCCTCGCTTTGGGGCAGCTGGCGGCCGAAAGGACTCCTCCTTCGCCAGTTGGTCCTCGGTGAGCAGGACATCGCTGTCCTCGAAGATCCAGGGAAAATCAGTGGAGTCCTGGAGCGGATCAGCGTCCTCGCCGTTGAAGGAGTCATTCAGTGCCGCCGGCGGCTGCTGCTCCTCCACCATCTGCATCTTCTCATCATCGTCGTTGTCCTCATCTTCGTCCTCCTGGTCACTACGTTTTATGTTGGCCAACAACTCCTCGTCCAAAACGCATTCCATTTTGTTTGTTTTGTTTACAAAGTTACAATACTTTCTTGAGTGTGACCGCAGGTGCACTTGATAATAATACCGTTATTGCTATTCAAATTCTTCATTTAAGAAAAAACTGTTGTAAATATTTGAATAGAAATAGAAAGCTTTTGTGCAGGACATATCTTTTGTATTAACTTTATATAAAAATCTAGTGTTTTTGGCGGGACAAACATGACTTTTCTAATCTTGGCGCAAAGATTTAAATTTCTGCTGCGGTTAACCTTGGAACTAGTTTATCATTGTGTTATTCAAAATTTATATTTAAATTCTTCTGCATATTAAACCTTATTTTTTGTGAATATTTGAATAGGTGTGTAAAGCTTTTGAGTTGTATAAATATTTTGGGGCTATTTTAGTAAAGTATTTAAAAAAACATTCAGTGTTTCAATTAGAATCGACATGACTTTTATAATCCTGGCGCTAATATTTGAATTTGAGCTGCGGCTGACTTCGGAACTAGTTATTAACTTTGTTATCGGCGATAGGCAACATCGCACCTGAGCTCTTATCGAACTAATTCCGTCACTATCATTGTTGTTGTTCTTATGGCAAGCGGAGGAAAAACGAAAAAATCGCTTGAAAAACTCTTTAAAAATCGGCAAATCTACGATCCTATTTACTCCCGCGCAGTTTAAAACAAGTCCCCCTTGAAATGAGAACAATCCGGCGCTACTGACGACCCTGCACCGTCACCGCAATCCTAATCCCTCTAGATCGAGGGGCCGAGGGTTAAAACTCTCGAAAATCAAGTGAATAGTGCATTTAAATGCCAGTGGCAACTATTTGGATACTGCAGGTTAATCCCCGGGTGCTTAAGATGCCCGTTATCTACGCGCCCAGTGAATTTGTCAAAATATTTTGGCTAAAGTGTCAATTTGACATGTTATATGTCATGGTCTCTCGTGTGCAATGCGATACCTGTGCGATATTTATCGATATCCCTCAACTTCTTTTAAATTTAAATTTTCATTAAAATATTATTAATTAAATAATAAGGTAGTTTAACGCCTTTAAATAAATTTTGCCTAAGAAATTGTAGGCAAACAACATACTTATATGATGGTGAAAACTTTTAATCGAATTTTGAAATTTGGTTTCGAAAAATAAGATTGCCATGACTTTGGTGTCTGAAGGATTTGTCTGCCTTCCGTTTTAGTCAGTTAGTTCCCAAAGCCCGTAGTGTCAGCACAAAAAGTTTTCATTTTCATTCCGAAAACTTAAACAAGAAATCAAAAATATTTCGTGTAAATAAGTGTTTCCGTTCGTTTAAACTCATTTTTTCGTGTGTCTTTTTCTAATGCTGTTTCTCGAATGCCTTTAGGCTCAGAGCTGAAATGATCTCGCCGGAACAGGAAGAGTCCAGCATGGTCCTGGATCGCCAGGTGCGCCAGAATATCCAGGACATGATGCACGAGGCGCATGTCCAGGCAAGTCTTCTCGAGAGCGAAGGTGAGTTGGCGTTTTTTGGATGGCGTAGTCCTTGCCGAAATCCTCTGCAGATCCTGTCCCAACTCTGGCTAATCCCTGTATCAGCTGCAGGTCGCGACCACTTCCACTCGGACTCTAGTTTGGACCACGATTCCCTTCATGCCGACGACTCCATGGCTGTTATGGACACTCTTTCCGCCGACGGCATTGTGGAGGAGGATCCGACCACCGAACAGGGCGTCGTGGATGGCAGCGAGGTCCAGAACTACCACGACATGTTAGTGGACACGGAGCACCACATCGACATCAACGGGTCGCTGCGCAAGCGTCGTGGAAATCTGCCAAAGCACTCGGTGAAGATTCTGAAGCGGTGGCTCTACGAGCACCGCTATAATGCCTATCCCAGCGATGCCGAGAAGTTCACCTTGTCGCAGGAAGCCAATCTCACAGTGCTCCAGGTATGCAATTGGTTCATCAACGCCCGACGCCGCATACTGCCAGAGATGATACGGCGCGAGGGCAATGATCCATTGCACTTCACGATCTCGCGGCGCGGCAAGAAAGTCAGCCCGAATTCTTCAGGATCTAGTACTATTGGCTTAAACTTAGCCGGCACGCCAAATCCCATAGATGGCAGTCCCGCCTCCGAAGTGGTAAGTATCTTTATGATATACAAGGGTAAAATTTTTTTTAAAATATTAACAAATCAGTTAGATGCAATAAGAATAAAAAAAGTCAAATTAATGACTTAGTCTTACTGGTTGAAACATTGCATTGATTAGTAGATTTGCAGTAGACTGTTTTGTACATATATAGATTAGATTAGAGAGATTAAGTTAACCACCTATATTTCAGGTCGTTGGTGCCACTGAGGAGGTAGATGGCGCCGGGGAGATGCACGAGGGCATTGCCAATGTCCTCACCAACTTTGAACAGTATGTCCAGGGTCCCAACGGTCAGATCGTCAAGATGGAGCCCGATTACGATGACAGCGTTATCTACAGGTATAAACTGGTCTTTCTCTAGTCTAAGTCACTTCTTCCCACCTATCCCAATCCTCCTCCACCACCAAGTTGGCAGCAAGCCATAGCAAACAACCCGTCGGGCTTCCAAAGTTTGCACTCCTCGCTGCAAGCAACAATGATCGACAAGATTCAGAACTATCAGATGCGCAAGGCGGCAGCTAGCGGAGGATCAGCGGGAGGCTCCAACGCTGTGAGCTCCGGTTCCAGCTCGAGCTCCTCCGGCTCCTCCATATTGCCGTACAGCATTTTTGGCCAGCTGCCGCCGGAGTTCGATGACGAGGAGAAGCCAAGACCTCCGAAGCGCGGAAGAAAGCGGCAGGCAACCGGAAAGAATACTTTCGGTGAGAAGAGCAAGCAGCCAAAGACGCAGTCTGGAAACCAGCAGCATCAGCAGCAGCAACAGCAGGAGGAGAAGCAGGAGCAGGAGACGGCCACCATGTATTGCTATCAGGACGAATACGGCGGCTTTGTGGTGGCCCCTAGGTACAAATGTAGCTCCCAGTGACCAAACTACAAAGCCTAAGTCCGTTGCCAAGTCATTCCTGCGGTGCTAAGAGTCTTCTTTCATTCCCAGATCCGAGGGCGAGGAGAGCGGCCAGGGATACGAGTCCTGCGAGCAGAACAGCGAAGAGGAGGTGCGCTTCGAGACCTCTGACGACTGGCAGAGCGTGATGAAGTGAGTATGGCAGCATCTACTATTTGACAGGCTCTTCCAAAGTACGGGGTTTGCCTTTTCCAGAACCGTTTTTACCACCGAGGAGGTTACCACCTCGGCTGGCAACAATCCAAGTACCTCTAAGGGATCTGCTACTAAAGGATCCGCCTACTACAACTCCAACCAGCAGATTACAAATCGTGAAGGTAGCTTATAAATAAATGCTGATTAATATATTCTTTAATGCTTTTTTTTGGGACTTCAACAGGCAACCAACAGTTGGCGGCCTCCAATCATGAGCTTCTGCAGGCCTCTGGATTCGATAGCTCTGTGTTGGCTAGCTCCAATCAGCAGGAAATTACTGATAATCTGCAGGCGGAAGACATATTTTCCATCACTGATGCGGAAACTGGTCAAACTCAGTCCTCGCCGCCATCGCAGAGTAAGTTTCATGATTTAAATTCCGCTTTAAGTCGTTATAAGTAAACTTGAATTATGAACAATAGGGTGTCGTTATATGCAGCAGCGTTTAAAAAAATAGTAGTAACTCATAACCCATAGTACCCATAAGCCCCCTTTGAACAGGACTTCGTAATGGACTACAATTTGTTTATTGTCAATTAAAAATATTTTCAAATAGTTTATACTATGCTCATTATGCTCTTATATTTTCTTGTCTTCAAATTAATTAATCAAATTAATTGCAGGTATCAGTCGAGAAGAGCGTGACAAGTACAAGTGTCTCTATTACCTAGTGGAAACTGCCATGGCTGTTCGCCAAACCGATGGAAACCAGGACGAGGAGTTCGTTTACATGGGTGACTAGGAGCCCAAGTAACCATCGACGCAACAGACCTCGACGATCCGAGGTACAGAGGAGTGTATATATTTATATATATTAGTAATTCGATTGAACAGCAGTTTATGCGCGTACTACAGCCAAACTTTATGCTTAGGCATTTGTTATTATGTTAACCGAGTAGGTTACTAACTTATTGTACAAATCATTAGAACAATTTCACACCGCAATTGCTTAGTCAAATATGCATATCCACCATGTCAATTTACGTACAATTGAGCTGTTTTAAACGGAAAACCCTTTTCAAACTTATAAAATGATTGTGTAAACACTTCCGGTATTTAAATAAACCAAACATCTGTGCATTTGCCATATAATAATGTATGGATTGGAAAGAAAATTTTTAAAATGTGGCGTAGAAGAGCAGTTTAAAATTTCTTTGTTTAATTACTACAATCCCAGTCGAATTTAGGGCTGTCAAAACTTTTATTTTGGTTTTTCCTATTGGGCTAATTTATTATTATTTATAAACTTCCGCATTCTTATGAGAAATAATGTGTACTTAAAAAGTTAAATGGAATGTGTTGGTATTTCCCTAACATTGATAAAGTTCGATTTTATTTTCTTTTTGAATAACGTTGGTTGGAATACAATTTATAATATGTGAAAAAGTATACGAAACAGCAGATGGAGAATTTTTTTTTGAGCTTCGTCAAACATTTTTTAAAATAAAGTTAAAAGCTTACCCTCTTATGTGCAAAAATATTCAAAAGTAATTTATATTTTATATATATTTTCTGGTATAGCCCCATAAAAATCAAATTTCAAACGTATTATAGACGTTACTAGTAATACTTAGACTGTTAGTATTTTTAAATATATGGTATTTTTTGAAATGCCAAGAAAGCGCGGTATTTCCGCACTTTCACAACACGGTCAGTTGCCGATTTTGTTTTTTGTTTTTTTGCAATAAATGTTTGTCCCGCACAACAATTAACTACGCCAATGGCAGAAACGGGAAGTGCAATTGTTTAATTAATGTCCGAATGTCTAGAGAACGGCAGACTGTACCCGGAGCAGACGTTTTAAATGAAGTTTGTTCAAGTGCAGACCGATTTTCCGCACTCGCATACGCCATCTCGCTCGCTCTCACTGTCGTCGTGTGCACTTTGTGTAAATTACAGCACAAATAAGTCGATTTCGATTCCGATTCCCATGTTAAAAATGTAAAGTCTGCCGACGCACAAAAGCAAAAGCAATATAGCAAATATAGACTGTTACTTAGGACCACACCTGCAAGTCGCACCCTAGCCTATATGCTTATCTCACCGCACCAGCAAAACCCTAGAATCGAGGCAATAAGTACTACTATCATCACCGCACCCCGAAACCGTCTGTAATTTGGTCCTGAAGAGGAGACACAGGAAATAAGGACATGCAAAGAGCATTTCCATCCGCAGTGTGGGTAAGTCTATAGGTCTACCTACATTTGTCCGCAGTATTTATGCATGTGTGCGTGTGTGTGTGTTTGGGCATGGGCGTAGGCATTGGTGGAAGGGAGGGGCCAAAAGACCCCCTTAAAGCTGTTTTGTTTCGGAAATATCTCAAAGAAATACAGGGCAATTCCGATACAGGCATTCTGTAAAATACCTATAATTTGGAAAGATCATGCTTCAGAATTGTAGTATTCATCTATGGAGTTAAACGTATGTATGTATTATGTAAATAATAAACCAGAACCAATTTCAATTCGATATTAGACTTAAAAACCTCTTAAGACGATCAGTTTCACAAACGAAAAAACAATTATAAATTGCAAATCAGTGAATAAAACTTTGTCAATGATATCCCCACATTAAACGGACAATACATCCCCAGGTCTAAATATCAAAAAAATGTTCCTATACGATAGCTCGTCAGAGTATCGTATTAATAATAGTTTTGCGAGCGATAATTTCTCTTCTTTTCGACAACTTTACGAGCTTTTAATGTTTGTGCGATTTAAGTAAGTTCTTAGATTTCCCATTGTTTGACTCTCGCTTTTTGCTCTTCTGGGAAATCCCTGTTTAAGTCTTTTATACAAAATTCTGACATTAGAGTATAATATCTAAATCATCATAAACTTCTAGAAAGGTATGTTTATGTAAGTAATTTAAGATCGAAACCTGACTGAAAAAAGTTTTAAAATCAAATCAAAATTAAAATTGTTGAAAAAAAAGAAAAGGTTGTTTAAGCCATCCCTGTTGATGAAATCCTGTCTATGCCACTGTGATTTTGAAAGTGCGCTCGTACGTGTACCGGCATATTTTTCGGCTATTTGTTATTTGCACTTTTACTTTCGGTTTGTGACTCTGTGGCCCACTTGCCTCATGACTTGCTTTATTTTATACTGTCGTAATCTTGTCTACTACATAATGAACCTAACTACAAGAGAACCTAACTGGTGAAATAGAGAACAGAAGCGATATAAAAACAATGCGTCTTGCCAGCTCTAATTAAGAAATTCCAGCGCCTTATCTCTAAATGTATCTCATTCGTTTTCTGTAGAGAACAAAATTGTATTTTTAATTATATTGTTTTTTCCTCGCATACAATATAATTTTGTTATCAGTTTCTTATTGTGTTGCTCCTGCAGAAAAAATATTGTTTGAAATATGTCTTGAAATGTGAAAATGCTATTTTGTTTAATCAAAAATGTTAGAAAAAATTATATTTGTGCAGTCTTTGCTTTTTTAAGAACCAATATGATATGAATTTTTAGTTCATGCCAAATGGTCTACATCTGTTCACGCTATAGAGTCTAGTTATTAATTGTTTTAGTTGATTTTAATCAATCAACAAAATTTCTAGTTTGCTTTTATTATAATTAAACTATACTTTCTCTGTTGCAATTTTATATAACGAGCATTTAAAATTTCGTCTTTCGTTCTTATTATTGAGATATGAATTTTTAGGTCATACCAAATGCCAAATGGTTTATATTTAGTGGCCCAATGGAGTCTATTTTTAAGCACGTGCCTGGCACTCCCAGCGTTGATGATGTTGACGATGATGATGACATCGTCGAAAGTGGCTCGAGTAGTTTGGCCCGATGCCCCGGCAGGAACACAAGTTTTTAAGCGGCAATTTGCAGCAATTATAAATACGAGAGGCTGTTGGCAAAGTGCTTGTACTCACACCTCACATCCCATGGCATCAAACCAACCGTTTTCCATTCGTCCATTCGGTTCGCTCTCGTGTGCCCCTTCTGGTGTTATTAATAAATCGAACGGGGGCGATGGAAAGGGTCAAGCGGCGGTGCTGCGCAGTTTGTGATGCCACCGAAAAAAAGGAAAAAAAAGCAAAAAAAAAAAAACCAATACCGCCCAGTTACACCCATGAGTTCAGCTCGGTTCAGTTCAGTTTCATGTTCAGCTCTCGTTCGCCGCTCTATTTTGTTTGGCCTGCACACATGCACATTAGCAGGCGTCTGGCGCTCTCTTTTCTATCATTTTCCCACCCATTTTCGCCCGCTTTTCCCCCATTTCCCCCCCTCAGCTGTGGTTGCCACTCGGCAGTGGCAGTGACAGCGGCAGCGGCAACGGCAGCAGCGACTGCGACTTGTTGTGCCGCCGTCAGCGGCAGACGCATCGCTTTCAGTTTGCAATTATCAACAACGCGCGCTCCTCTCGGCCGGAGCATCGAAATTGTGTTAATACGTCGCCCAGAAATCTCGCTGGCATGGCCATAAATAAAACAAAATTAAATTTATTCTACTTATTGCCGGTGCTCACGTGAAGAATTCGAAACGAAAACGAAACGATTCAAATGCTGCTGACACGACGGTACGAGTGTTAAGGCTAAGCAAAATCATGCGGCCAGTGATTTAGAAATAAACAAAGCATATTAGAGACGTTTTGATTGGGTTAAGTTGAAGTTGAGTTGGCTTTAATGTGATCCCAAGTGTAACGTAGGCCTTTCAGTCGATGCATGCATAATAATTACGATCCCCGTTTCCCACCCACTTAAGCACTTCAAGGTTGCATAAACGCCACAAACTGGCGGCTTACTGGTTACCCCTGCACCTGGCTGACAAATGAAATTGTTCACAATGACGATGAGAGCCACTAACAAGTTTCTTGTTACCATTTCAATGTGGCACGAGGGCAAAAGAAAGGTAGTTCAGAGAAACAAGAGTTTTAGGGGCTGGCCCCCTTCGTTTTGTCATCGCTTGACCTAACCACAATTGCTAACGATTTGTGTTAGCGAATACCTTTGCAATACTTGAATTTCAATCGAGTTATTTCAAGAAGTGGGTATACTGGGTATGTGTCAAATAGGTGGAATTCGCACAATTTGGAGTTGTTTTAAAGTTATGCTAAGTGGGCGAACAGTGCGTATGCTTGATATATGCACGAGCACATGATACTCTGAGTTGTTTTGTTATTTAGTTGGTAAGCTGCATTTTTTATAAGCCCTAAAATAAATAACTTATCTTAAGAGGATAAATATTTTGCACTCTACTTATTGTTTAAAGAGTGTTGGTATAGTAAAGTAAGGGAATCGCGTAGCCGACCTGGTGACCCTTGTCCCCTTGAATTTCCCTTAATCCCCTCATGCAAATGATCCAGACGAAAGGGGACAGAGACTCAAGCCCCGTTTTCTGTCTGAGGTAAGTGCGGTGGAAAAGGAAAACGGAAAAACAAAAGGAGGTTGGAGAAAATGACCGACGAGTGGGTGGTGTTGACTGTTATCTTGCCGCTTGTTAGCCGTTGTCTTTGACGATTTGTTTGCATGCCATTCTTTGCTCTGGTTTCCTTTTTTTATCATCTTCCACCCGTATTTAATACAAAATCAATCGGATTGCCTCCGACCGAGCATTATAAACTCAAAACTATGCTCGTGTGTAATAAGACGAAGGTTGTGAAATGGAGTTGCTCATGAAGTCGATTGTTGCTTTCAATTACAGCTTTTGATTTTATTGATACGAGTATTCGAAACGAACATTTACAGGGATATGCATGGGCTTATGTCTAAACACTTGAACGTTTAAATTATTGTTTTCGTTTTTGCTTAACATGTTCTCTCCTACCACAGCAGCTACTTCCTTCATAAGCTCAAAATTACTCATAGATATTAATGGTATATACTATTAGTATGTTTTAAGAGTGCTATTCTTCTTTAACTGTACTAAGATCTTATTCATCTTTAAAACCGAAACTTAAAACTTTGGGCTCTATAAACCATATCTTATTCATAGATAAGCACACTTGTGTTGAAGGTTTCCGAATGACAGAGTATTAACTATACAAATTCCTAATGGGGCTCACACATAACCACTGGACTCCAATTTGATGGCTCCCTCGTATGTGGGCAGTCCCGATCTGTCAATGATTTTGCTCATGTCCAGGCTGATGATGCCGTTTTCGTTAATGTTGTTCAAATCCTGTTCGACCTGTTGGCCCATTGCCTGCTCCAGCTCCTGTTCCACCTCCATCTCCGGTCCTTTGTCATTTTGGGAGGTTGCTGGTGTGTCTGACGTTGCTGCGTTGTCATTTTCATCATTGACAGCGGTTGTGGGTATAGAGGTTATAGAGTCATCCGTGGTGGAACATTCCTGAACATTCCCGTTGGCCTCGTCCTCCTGCTGGGCATCGCCAGAAATGTGGTTGCCATTATCGATGTCGCTGGGACAGGGACACAGGGCCGGCTCCTCCCTGCGCCCGCTCATATTGAGACCGCTCTCCACGGACAGAGCGGCGGTTAGGGGCTCATCTTCCGCCTCGCCTTCGTAGCGGAACTTGCCGCACAGCGGACAGCCACGTCGGTAGTGGTTGGCACTGTGCTGATGGCTCTGCTGCAGATACCGCCGCCCGAAGGTGTTCAATCTGATATTCTGGGCCGCCGGCTTGCACACCTGCAGCGTCTCCATTTCCAGGCAATTTCCGCTGCGGGCAGCCACCGCCGCCGCCGCCGCATTCCACATGCTCTCCACCTCGGCCCGCTGCAGTGAGCAGCAGGACTGGGCATTCAGGGCCAGCTGCAGCTGCTTGTTGACCAGCAGGCCTCCAGTTCCACCACTACCACTGGCCACGGCCACATCCCCACTGCCATCGGGTGTGCCGCGACCAAAGCTAGTCGTTCCCTGTCCCTGCCCTCCGCTGATGTCCAGCGAGGATCGGTATCCCGGCGGCGGTGAGACGCGCTGCATCAGTAGTTGCTGCTGCTGCTGTTGCAGTTGCAGCTGCAATTGCTGCTGCTGCTCCAGCTGCTGCTGGTGGAGTTGCTGCTCGTGCAGCACCACCGCGTCGTACGAGGGCGGTGGTTCGTGATGCAGAGCGGGCACGGCGGACAATCCATCTGTTGAGTCCCCCAGAAACAGGCCAGATGTCTCGTAGCACTGAAAAGTACGAGAAGAATTTCAATTGATTAGAAGAATGGACAAAATCGGCAAAGGATTTAAATCAGGGGTGCTCAAAACTGCCTTTTTTGTTTACTTATTTACTATTTGTACTATGTGCTACTAATATTAAAGCACAATTTTACAAACATGACAATAAACTTGAATTGAATTATGTATATAAATATTTAAATTATAGTATTTATTTATTTATTTGTTAAAAAGTATTGCCTTATGGCAGTGCATTTACCAACACAATGAAAAAAAAAAAATTCATTTGGATTAGAGATAAAAATAGAGCAGCCATAAATTATATTTAACTATATTAGGTAATTTCTGCTTTTAATTTAATAAATTATAATTTATACTTAAACTTTTGCTTCACAGAAATCCTACGTTTTCTTAAGATAAAGCTTCTTGACTATTTATGCTCCCCCAAGTCGTGAGTAATGACCGATCTCCATTTGCCCGCTTTGTAACTTACCATCTTAATGGAGACGAGGTGGACAAGCACAATTTACGCGATCAAATAAAGAAGTTTAAATTGCACACATCATAAATTTATTTGTCTCCGCCGCGCAATCTGCAACCCACCCATTTCGACCTCCTAGAAATCCGACTCGTTCTGTCCGCAGTTGACATTTGTGCCTGGACAGGCTAACGTTGATTTACGCGGAGCCTTTTGCCGGCGTTTTTTCCCTCGTTTCCCAGCGGGCCAACAAACAACAATGAGCTGAGTGATGGCCTTTGGGGGTGGTGGGCGGTGGGTGTTAGTAGGTGGCACCGGGAGGTTTTAGTGGGCTGCCGGCGGTTTGTAACTTAATAAAGCCCATGGCCAAGTGAGTGCGGCTTGTGTGGCACTTGCAGTGGCCATAAGCCAACCACAATTGTCGCGCCCCTTTGGTCAACTCAGTTTGGTGCTTGTCGTTGTCGCACCTGTTAAATGCGCCGCATAAATATCCATTACCACCCTACTTTTCGCCTTCCCCACTTTCGGTTTCTGACTTACTTTTAAACTGTCCTCATGAAATGTTGACTTAAACTTGAAAAAAAGACAATTATGGTTGGTTTGTGGGTGGTTTTAGGATCCAATTGGTTGATACGTTAAAGTAGGGTACATAATATTATTACTTTTCTGGTTGCCATAATTGTTATTTTACCCCTTAATTCGGAATTGAGGTTGATTAGTTTGAGGTCATACCTCATATAATTTTCTTTATTAATTACAATCATTTAATTTCTTTATTAATAATAATATTATTAAGTTTGTTCGATTGCTTTGTAATTTCTTTTTGATTTGACTCGTATTGAATATCTTTAGTCTAGCGTCTGTCCCACTTTATCTTCTATTGCCAATTTAGAATTTTTATAAAATTGCTCAATTAAATAAGCCATGTGCAGAATTAAAAGAGTAAAATTACAAATGTTTCTTCATGTTACTGAACAGGACGCAGAATGTTTCCTGTTTGCTAGCGGATATGTTGACTTCATAACTGTTTGGAATGCCATAATTTATAATTGGCTTTATAATTTATTTTCCTCTGGATTCTATTGAATTTTTAAGGAATAACAGTCTAACGTCTATCATTTAGAATTATAATTTATTAAGACTATAATTGTGTAGCATACCAAGAACGTATGTAACCTTTTTTAAACTGTTTTATTTTTAATAATTGCGTTATTGATTCCACAACTAAATAAGCCATGTACAGAGCAGAAAGAGTACAATAATTGATATCCTTTTATGTTACTAATTAAATGCTGACCTCTTCGCTGGCGGATATGTCGATTTCAATAACTATTATATTTGGAATGCCGTTGATATCCGTTTGCTATTATGGCTGTCGGATAACAAAGCTTCTGGACCCCGAGGTACAAAGCCACTGATACAGGGAGCAACAACAACAACAACTACAACTCACCTGTTCCACGCTGTATATTTCCATGTTGGTATCGCCTTCGAGCCACTGATGCTGCTGCTGCCTGTAGGCGGCCTCAGTCCGCTTTTTGATATTCCGATGGCAACAATAGCAGACCACACACAATATGGTTGTCACCAGGGAAAGCATCGCCCTGCAACGAAACATAATCGAACGGGGATGTGAATGCAGTGTTATGCCACGGATATCAGACGTGTATTTTTCGAAATGTTTGCCTTAGCTGGTGAAGTGAAATTGATTGCGAAGGCTCGATAAATGGCCATCATGACAATATCGTATTAATAACGTTTTTGGCATTTATTAATTTTGTCGAACAAATTGCAAATGTTTGTGTGTTTGCGTTTATTTATGTTGGCCTATTCGGTCCTCCGTTTTCATATTGATTGCATAGAATTCCCTGCAAAATGTTGGCTTTAATACATACCAGAGCGGAAATTACTTTTCTTGCCGTATGGTTTTAATTAGATAGTGCATTTGCTCTCAATAAATTTTCCAGCCAAACAAAAGGTAAAACCAACTGTTGATAAGCGTAGAGTACAAGGAATATTGTCAATTATCTTGAGCCGTATGAGCCATCACAGTACAGTGAGTTTCTCTACTTAGCAAATTTGTGAGCTCTTCATTTTGATCTATAATTAATCTTTGATTGTTTTACTGCACTTATTGTTCTAACGACTTAATTTGCATTCTGTTAGCTCTTGATTGGGCCACAATTTGAATAGCTTTATTAAAGCAAATTTACCTTCTATTGTCCGCAGACATTAAGCAGTTTATGTGTTGAAAGGATTAAAGTTTGTCTTATGGTTTTATGCTTATTGCTTTCACCTAACATTGTTCAGCTGTCAATTATTAAATAAACTTTGTTAGTTTAGCAAATATATGGTTGCATACTGTACTCAGTGTAGGTGTGGTAAGTGTAAGTAAGTTTTATTTTATTTACTTTTGGTTTTTGCTTACACAAATTGGTATTTCAGTTGGGTTCTTTTATTAAGTGTATTGATCTTATAAGTTTAGACTACATATAACCACCCTTGGCTATAAAAACACTTGATCCACTTTAAAAAATAACACAGACTCAACAAAAAAGTAAAAAAAATACCCAGCATTTTAAAACATTAATAAATAACATAAATGTGGGTACCTATTAAGTATCTTGTGTAGTATACATAAATAAATTTCTTTATTTTCTAAGCCTATTTCCTATATATGGAATTTTTATCTACAAATTCTTTAAAAGGTGTAGCCAAATCAATTTTCTAAGTTTGTCAGTGAGTTTGACTTTTCGAAACTATCATTTTGATTGCCAGCTATCAAACTTTGCTTTTAGCGCCGTCGTCCAGCTATTGAAACCCACTGGTTTATTTAGTCGAAAATCGCTTCGTGTCGTTTTCGTTGGTCAAGGCATTTCCATGACGTCACTTAATCCACTTTCGAATGCAACATTGTGTACCACTTGTCTGTCCAGCTTTTTTATCTCCTCCCCTCGCTCATCCTTTCTTTTTTTTAGCTTTTCATTTTCCCCGGCACACGCAATTTCTCGCATGTCAACAGTTCATTAGAGCCCTCTTTCGGGCCCAGTTTTTCCAACCTTCCCATTCCGCGAAAGCGAAAGAGAGACAACGGCGGGCCATGTGGAGCGTTTTCCCCCCAAACCATTTTTTATTCGAGCTATTTTCAATGAATTGCCCAAGACAATCGATAAAAATGTAGTTAAAATAAAGTTTTTCGGCTTGTGTGGCGCGTGATGTTTGCTGACATAAAAACAAAACCCTATAAAACTGTGTTAACAAAATGCCATTGATTTTGTTGTAGGCATTGTTGTCCTCAAACAAAAAAAGCTCATGTTGCACACGAAAATAAAATTTATTAACAAGAACGGATGCTTAGGTTTCGCTTCTAGAAAAATGGCTTAGCGCAATTATAATTATTATTTTCGCTGAAAAAAGAAAAACGGATGCCAGCCATCTTCGCTTGCAGGCGGCAAAAATTTTGATGTTTATTAATTTGCAGCTTCTACCCATAAATCAACTGGTGCCAGGCATTATGATCTATGAAAGCAGCTCGTAATATCCTTCTTAAAAGTGTCTACAAATAGGGCAATTACTGCAAACATTTCAGTGGAATTTACGACCTGCTATAAACATTCAAATAATTGACTTTGCGGTTGCCTGGAAACATGTGTGTGTGACTATTTTCCCAGTAAAACTTTTTGGTTAACTCTTGTTATTTAATGACAAACTCACTTTTGGGAATAAGCTAATAGTTACCAAGAATGCCAGCCATGATAACTAGATTTTTCATGAATTACCTAATATATTAGAGTGACTTTCTTAAAAGAATGAATTTGTTGTTATCCAGTGTTTCAATTGTTTTTTGTTCAAAACTTTTGGGCCAACTCTAATTAATTAATTGGCAAGTGAGTGTGGGGAATGCTCAGCTATTTGGCAAAAGTTGCAGCCATGATGTGTGCCACTCTTTCGCATTTCCCACGAGCCTCACCTTGGCTCATCTCTTGAACTTGGCTCTCAGAAGAAGCCTTGCCTGCCATCAGTCAGTTGTTCCAGCTGTCAGACTTACCCGCCAAGCAGCAGATTCACATTGCCGTTGACTACATTTGCATACGTCTGGGGTCCACCAGGTCCTCCACCGCCGCCAACGCCGGAGATGACAGATCCTGAGCCACCGCGCTGCTGATGATACTGCCCCAATCCGCCGGTGTAGTAGGTGGTGTGCGTCGAAATCGAGGACGAGGATGACATATGCTCCTGGGACTGGGACACCAGCTCCTCGCTGTTAAAACTTCCATACGATGATGATGATGATGATGATGATGATGATGGAATCCCCTCCGTTGTGGCCACCACCGATGACGATGTTGTTGAGTGATTTTGATTTGAATTTTGGTTTTGACCAAAGGCCAGCAGAGTTGCATAACGTTTTAGAGACATTTCACTGCGGCTGGAAATCGAAGCGAGGCGATTGCATAACGATTAGCACGGCGCACTCATTACATTTCCATTAACACGCACACTTCAACCGACCGAAGAAAGGCGTCGCACTTAGCCTGGCTAGAAGCTAGCAGCTAGTAGCGAAAGCTAAAGGCACTAGACCGCAGCAAGGACGAACAGCGACTGGCAGGAGCTAGCCCTCGCGAGCGACGACCCGAAGGCAACAGCAACACTGCACGACCATTACTAGCTGTCACACTACACGAAAAACATTTATTTTGAAATCAGGTTCTTCAACCTTTAAAACATTTCGCGTTGCCAAAAATATTTTCAAAATATTTTATAAACATTATGTTTCGGAACATAAGATAGTGGAGGAATGTTCGAAAGTAATTTTATTTAAAACAAATTGTTTAATATCTTCTCAAGAATTTACAGATTTTATAAGCAGATATATTATTTTTTACAATTTTGATTTAAGAATCATATTCTCATGAAATTTGTCTATTTGTTAATTTTTACGGGCACTATACAACACATGTTTAGTTATTTTTTATATATAACTCAATGATATTTCGTTATAAAGCACAAGAAGACAACACTGATTGATATAAGAGCTTGATATGCATTTTTAATTCTCTCAATTAAAGGTTAGCTGCGTTTTTTTTCGAAGTGTAGATAGTATAACGATCGATGGCCAAGGCAAGTCTATTTCCGTAGCTCTTAGTTTTGGCCGCGAATCGCGAGTTGTGCGTCTGGGCAAATGCGTTGCGCTGCTGCAACTGAGCTCCGGCTTGACTTGCTGACTAGTTTGCTGGCTGCTCTGGTCGTCCTGTTCCGAGGACTTTGGCTTGGCTTATCCTTTTGTTGTGAGCCCGACGAAGTTGCCTTGGTAACCGAGTGAGCACCAGCCTTCGGTTTGGGCTCTGCACTTCGTGTTTTCTGCTGCTTCTGCCGCTGCTGCTTCTCGTTGGTTTTTACTGGTTTCTGTTGCTGGTTGCCTGTTACAAGTTGCGTTGCCCATTTTTCTGTGGCTTTCCCTCTTATTTTTGTTGGGTGGGGAAGGGGGTGGCGAAATGTGGGTGGGTTGGATAAAGGATACGTCAACGACAAAGGCCAAGCACGGCTATTTGTATTGAGCTTCCTTTTGTATCTCTTTCAGTCGCCCCAAGTTTTCCCTCTGTTTCTGCACGTTTCATGTCAAATTGAGCGCCAAATGCTTTTGTATGCCCGTATGGGTTGTCATTACTGCTGTTGTTGTAGCTGCTGCTGTAATGTTGTTGCTTTTGCTGTTGTTGTGGCAACCATGCATGCCATTTGAACAACACTTGTCGCCAACTGACATTTTTCACGGCATGCGGCCATAAATAATAATGCGACTCAGAAGCAACAGTCCATGCCACGCATATTGAGCATGCAACATGCTGCACGGCACACGCTGCGTATGCGTGATGCGTCGAAAATGCATGCCAATTATGTTGTGGAAAACGATCGTTTTAAACTATTGCATATAAATTAAATTTTATGCGAAGGAAATGGTTTTTAAATGGTCTATTTCAATGCAATAATATATTTTTTCCGCTAATGTTATTATTTTAAATGCCTACGCAAGCAAGGAATTTAGTGTATAACACTCTAATAATAAATATAATATTCATATGAGAAATATGTTGTTTTTTTAAGCATTTTATCATAATAATTAATAATAACCAAGTTATTGATCTGCAATAAACATAATTTAATTAAGTAATTATTTTAAATGTGAAACCAAAATTTGTTTCCCCTATTGCCAATTGTTTTTAATGTGTCCCATTTATCATACATTTCAACATATCCGCTGCCCCTCAAATTCAGCCACAATTTTGAAATAATTTTAAAAATGTTCCGCCAATGAAATGTATTCATTTGCATATCGGCCACGTTTTATAGCACCCGCATGCAATTATCATCATAATTGCCAGCTGTTAGCATCCAATTGAAATTCACGAATTATTTTGGCAAATTTGCTTTTAATTTATGGCGCTTTTGCCTGTGCAAACATTTAAATAGGCATATGCGCGGTGCCTATGGAGAGTTCCCAATATTTGGGAGCGGCAGTGTGGACTGGCTCTGGTTTAGCTATAACTATAGGTACATAAAGCTATACCTATGTTTTTGCCAGGTGCATACAATCGCAGGCACAGTCGCCCGGCGGTTTCAAGAACATATGTAAATAGTTGCACGCCATTTTTACAGCCCCGCTCTTTTTTTCTGGGTTTTTGTGCACATAGAAAAATTATAACAAAGTTTTTTCAATGGCTCAATAGTCTCAATAGCTTTTATCAGCAAACGTGCCATTTAAGATTAACAAATGAAATGATATGCAAAGTAGTACAAATCGATTTATCTAATGAAGCAATAGTAATTTATATTAGACCATGTTCCCATTTCCCATCTTAAAAATACGGAAGTAGATTGGGGACTTCTGTTTGAAACGTAAATTTATTTAAAATAATTATGCTTTTTTTCATGCAAATTTAATATCCGTTGTATATAATATAATTATTATAAATATTAAATATACCATTTTGAATTCAATAGTCGTTTTTTTATCTGTGATATGATCTGACTTTCAAAAGGGTGATGTCTGTTTTTCTGAGTGCACCACCTTCTCTCTCTTTCGCTCCGAGTGTGTTTTTGGCCGTGCCAACTGTTTGTTGACGGCTTCGTCGGCGTTCGAGCGTCTTGAAATCCGCGCAACGTCGGCGGCTTAACAGTAATAGTTGTGCCCGTAGTTGTTGCCAGTACCTTGAGTGTCGCGCGCGCTTAAGAGCACGTCCGCCTGGTTGTTTCAGGCTCGACGGCCGTGAACGACGCAAAAAAGTCGTCACTATTTTAGTTGTGCATCTCTGGCATAATTTTAGATTTGTGTGAAAGGAAATTTGTCAATTCAGGACACCCAGGACAGGAGGAGCAGAAGGCGCCTTTTTGTATGTCACGCCGCCCCTCAACAGTTGGCATCTGGCAACGTGACTCATTAGAGCGTCTCGCTGTTTTGGGGGGCATGTGGGGCCTGTGGCCCACCCACCGGACGGCCCACTGATGATGGATAGTTTCGGGCGCTTCTGGTCACTTTCGAGCGCCGCTCTGCGCACGCGTTGCGGGTAAGCAGTCGAGGCAACCGAATCTAATCGTGGCCAAAAACAGTCAATTAAGCGAGCAAACAAAGGCCTAAATACAAAACAGGAACCGTAAAGAATCAAATATGTTGTAATGTAAATTAAAGGGTATAGTTAGGGGCTAGCACAAATAAATTTAAAAATGTTAACATATATTTTTTTCTTATTATTATTACTTAAATATTAACAATAAAAAATATACAAAAATTACAATGTAAACTCTTTAAGTTTGACTGTAATTATAAGTTTATTATTTTTAAATTGTATTTAAATCTAAATTATTTCAGCTTGGTAGCTTGGTAGCCACTGTCTATACATAGATATTGTATTTTCTATCTGCACTACTACAAAAATCGTTTAATTTCCAAAAAAAAAAAAATGTAAGTACTAAATCAAGATCACTTAGGGATTCACACTTATAACATTCTAGATTTTTTATTTTAAATTCTTAACACTTTAAATCAAACACTTTTAAATCAAGATCACATAAGGTTTTTTTTATATTCTTAATTTTCTATTTAAGTGTAACCACTTTCAAACTAACTATCCACTATCAGTGTTATATGGGTCACCAACAACGCTGAAATGTATGCTTCACTTTCTGTAAATATTTTTGACATTCATTTGTGTGTGCTGTGTATGAAGAAACTAATGAGGCTGTCACATTCAAGCAATCCTTTCTTGCTGCCCCACCGCGCTGCTTGTTCTTTTTTCAAGCATTGACAGCATTAATTATGCATGCCTGTTGATTTATTATGCACGACCATCAAGGTAATGATGAGACCAGGCCACAAGTAAGAGCACCTCCATTGCATTGAAGCACCAGCTGCCATGATGCCATGATGCCATGCTGCCATGCTGCCATTTTCAAACTCCTCCGTTGCCAGTGGCAACTGGAAAAACGGGTCTCAAATGGAGAATTCACCTGTGAAACTGTGTTGGTTGCATGACCTGCGAAAGTAATTCATATTTCCACATGAAGCGTAATGAAAATTTTAAGGTCTCACCCATGCCAGCTTCGATTGTTGGAGTCACACGCAAAGGTTGCAGGTCCTTGCCGTTTTTGCCACTGCCACTGCATTACAGGTGTGTGCCGCCCACTCCCCATCGAAAATCATGAGGGAAAGCGACACGATACCTGGCACCAGGTACCATTCTCCATTGATGGCAAGGTCTCGTCCTCATTCTGCTCTTCTATGCAAAGTTTAAAAGTGCCCGCCCTAAAAAATATATAAAATCACATTTGGGTTTATGGGCTCTCCACTCATTTGTTAAGTAATTTGATTTGAAATCGATAGGGAAGCATAACACGTTAAATTATAGGTTTCGTTATAAGTATGATAAGGGATGGGGATAACCAAAAATATGGTGTTAAGGGTTGTCACGCAGGTTTAACTTGCTAAACTAAACACACATAAAGAAGGGGAGAAAGGGTAAGGTTTAAGTAAATATTGGTATTTGAAAAGTGATTAATTTTCCTCCCATACAAATAAGGAATCATGTACTTTGTATTTGTTAAACATAAAAATAAAATTTAAAACAGAATAACCTATGGTTTGATTACATAAAAGTTCTGAATCCGATATTCAACCAAAGCAAGCAATCCTTAGACATTCAAACAAATAACAAATTGTAATTTTTCAATATACTATGGAACATAGATGAGAGGCAGCAATTGTTTGTATATGACACTGTCTTCGATTTCTCATTATGTTGCCAGCCAGGCGCCAGTGGAAACCCAATTTTCTTGCGTGCGGCGAAGGTAAATGGGCCATGTGTGCGTTTATACAAGCGTGAGGGCATCGCGGTCGTCGAGGACAAACAATTGCCACTAAATGGCATGTGGCGGACCTCCACTCCTCCGGTTTCCTTTTGATTTTATCGCCCGTCAAGCCCAAGTCGCGAGCATTGATTAAAGTTCGATGTGTCCTGTCCCCCATGACATGGCCCGATTAAGGGTTGGTCTCTCTCGTGGAGGCCCATTGCCTGCTATTGTGCATTGTTGCTTAACTGTCTCAGTTCTTTGAACCAGTTGGCAGCAAGTGGCCAAGAGCCAGATGATGTTAAGGAAACAGGAAAAATTTGATTAAATGGGTCTTAATTGTTTTAAAATACAAATAAGGCTTTATATTAGCCATTTAAAGGATTGTTGTAACTCAAAATTTAATTTATGACCAGTATTATGGGCTTTTTAAGCCTCATTTAATTTATTTGCATTATGATAAATTAAAATAAAAGTTGTTCTATGCCTTAAAGGTGTGTTTTCTTTCCCACTACTTTTATGTATATCTTAAATGTCATGGAATTTAACAGCTACAGAATAGTATTTTAATGTAAACACCTTTCCCTTCTTTGCCTGCAGCCTACGTTATCTCTATAAGATGTCCTTGGCTGTCTCGCTGCGCAGAGCTCTTCTGGTGCTGCTCTCCGGAGCCATTTTCATCCTGACGGTGCTGTACTGGAACCAAGGAGCCACCAAGGCACAGGCTTACAACGAGGCGCTGGAACGCCCCCACAGCCACCGCGATGCCAATGCCTTTCCCATGTGAGTGCTGGCACAGCTACATGCCAATCAGCTGGAGCTGTGAATGAATGATCCGACCGACTAATCACTAATCACTCTTCGTATTTGCAGACCCGTCGAGAAGTCCTGGACATACAAGTGCGAGAATGAGCGATGCATGCGGGTGGGCCACCATGGCAAGTCCGCCAAGCGGGTCTCCTTCATCAGCTGCTCGATGACGTGCGGTGACATCAATATTTGGCCGCATCCCACCCACAAGTTTGTGCTCAGCTCGCACACGCACAGCTTTTCCGTGGAGGATGTGCAGCTGCAGGTGGACACGTCGCATCGGGAGGTACGCAAGCAGCTGCAACTGGCCTTCGACTGGTTCCTCAAGGATCTGCGGCAAATCCAACGACTGGACTACGTCGCCAGTTCATCGGAGCCAACGGTCAGCGAATCTTCATCGAAGGCTCGTCGTCATGCGGACGTGGAACCCGCGGCCACGCTCTTCGGAGCCACCTTTGGCATGAAGCAGGCTGGAGATCTGACTAGCGTGCAGGTCAAGATCAGCGTACACAAGTCTGGAGACCTAAACTTTAGCCTGGACAACGATGAGACCTATCAGGTTACCTCCAATAGTGAGTAATCCAAGATTGTTTATCCTAGAGCCCAACACGAATTTAGTTTAAAATCAGTTTCAAGCTATAGCTTGATTTGGAATCAGCCAGTAAAAGCTCCTGCCAAAAGCTATAATTCTATTAACTTGTTTAAAAAAGTCTCAGCTCGAGTAGCTCACAACAACAAAACAATCAATTCAAAGCTCATGTCAAATATTTCTGGTCAGTCAAACATAACAGGCGAATTATCGTTTAATTTCATAAGCTTCTTTAAAATTATTGAAATATGATTTACAAGCTCTTCTAATTAAGACTTTAATAATAAAATAATATAATATAATATATATAATAAGGAAAAAATACCACTACAATTTACATTTTTTTCTACACGTTAATCAGCCGATGGACACCGCCTGCAGGTGGAGATCACTGCGAACTCGTACTTCGGAGCACGCCACGGACTGTCCACGCTGCAGCAGCTGATCTGGTTCGACGACGAGGACCGCCTGCTGCACACGTACGCCAACAGCAAGGTGAAGGACGCGCCCAAATTCCGGTACCGCGGCCTGATGCTGGACACCTCGCGACACTTCTTCTCGGTGGAGGCCATCAAGCGGACGATAGTGGGCATGGGCCTGGCCAAGCTGAACCGATTCCACTGGCATCTGACGGACGCGCAGAGTTTCCCCTACATTTCGCGCTACTATCCGGAGCTGGCCGAGCATGGAGCCTACTCGGAGAGCGAGACGTACACGGAGCTGGATGTGCGCGAGGTGGCCGAGTTCGCCAAGATCTATGGCGTCCAGGTCATCACCGAGATCGATGCGCCGGCCCATGCGGGCAACGGCTGGGATTGGGGGCCCAAGCGCGGCATGGGTGAGTTGGCCATGTGCATCAACCAGCAACCCTGGAGCTTCTACTGCGGCGAGCCGCCCTGCGGCCAGCTGAATCCGAAGAACAACCACACCTACCTCATTCTGCAGCGCCTCTACGAGGAGCTGCTGCAGCACACTGGCCCCACGGACCTCTTCCACCTGGGCGGCGACGAGGTGAATCTCGACTGCTGGGCGCAGTACTTCAACGACACGGATCTGCGCGGCCTCTGGTGCGATTTCATGCTGCAGGCAATGGCCAGGTGAGCAGCCAATCTCAATTAAAGACCTTTAAAGTGTACACTAATTAGTTAGCTTTAAAAGTGTGCACTCACTTATACTTGAATTCAAGTCAAACAAGTTTTTAAAATGTTGTATACTTTATGACTAAAAACAAAGGATACCAAGGGGTTGCACTTACAATTGATTGGGAAACAAATCACTTCGAAATCTTTAAGTGAACCCTAAGGAATGGAAGTCAAGAAAAGAGAACCTGTAAAATATTCACATTGTGAAAATGGTTTTTGACTTTACTACTAAATTTTAGTTTTATCGAACGCATGTTTATGTCCACAGTCCAATTATCTACGTTATCGATTTTTAGTTTAAAATTTAAACAAACGAGTGGCAAGTGAAAGGGAAATTGAATTTCTTCATAGGGAATTTTTTGATAAAATGCATAAAGTGTGAAAGATTTGTTTTTTCACAATTATTGGGGATACACTTAAAATAACTCGGAATGTTTACTAAATCCCTTTAATTTAAACTCTGTTTTCTAGGACTTGTTTATATCCAGTGAAATAAGAAACCATAACTCATAAATTTTGAGTTAGCTTTCTATCACTTTATATTTTTTAAATTTACTTGCTTGTCAATTCAAGTGAATTCATGCAAATTATTTTATATGCTTTATCCCTCAGACTTAAGCTGGCCAACAATGGCGTGGCGCCCAAGTACGTGGCCGTCTGGTCGAGCGCCCTCACCAACACCAAGTGTCTTCCAAACAGTCAATTCGCCGTGCAGGTTTGGGGCGGCAGCACCTGGCAGGAGAACTACGATCTGCTGGACAACGGCTACAACGTGATCTTCTCGCATGTGGACGCCTGGTATCTGGACTGCGGCTTCGGCAGTTGGCGGGCCACCGGGGACGCGGCCTGCGCCCCGTACCGCACCTGGCAGAACGTCTACAAGCACCGGCCGTGGGAGCGGATGCGCTTGGATAAGAAGCGCAGGAAGCAGGTGAGCATTGTTATATTTGTCATACTTGACATTTTGAGACGATCCCTCCAAAAAACCAACCAAAGGATCCGTAATACGATTTAAATTGACAGTTTGTTCAGCATTATTTATTTAAAAAGCCTTTATTATTTTTACTTTTAAACAAAATTAATACTGTTTTTACTCAAACTATATATATTTAATGAAGCGATTTTGGATAACAAATAAAACTATTTGCTCTTGCCTACAATTTTTTGAACAAATATCAAATCCATATTGGCATATTTTAATTAATAATCACTTTTGCAATATTTTGTAGGTGCTGGGTGGTGAGGTGTGCATGTGGACCGAGCAGGTGGACGAGAACCAGCTGGACAATCGGCTGTGGCCGCGTTCGGCCGCGCTGGCGGAGCGGCTTTGGAGCGATCCCAGCGATGACCACGACATGGACATAGTGCCGCCAGATGTGTTCCGCAGGATCTCGCTGTTCCGGAATCGCCTCGTCGAGCTGGGAATCCGGGCCGAAGCCCTATTTCCCAAATACTGTGCCCAGAACCCGGGGGAATGCATTTGATATTACCTCTAAGAAGTAAAAGTAACCTCCTATGATCCCAATCCGCGACTCCTCCCGTTAGTTAGTTGATAGTCTAATTGTTATTTTATACGGATACCTAGGCTTCGTTTTGCAGGGAAGCAGACGACTGTTTGAAATGGTTTCTGGCATAAACCATGACTCGAATTTCGTTTTCATAGAAGAAACAAACATAAACACACACCCATTACTAGTACAATCCATTTCGAATTATAGCGCACATAAGCATTGCAGTTGGAACAGAACAGGATGGTGGATGGTGGATGGTGGATGTGGCCAGAAATGACCTAGTAGGGAATCAAGTTGAGGTTGACATGCAGGTGACGTTGAACATTAGTGTTCATAGACTTAGTTGTAGATTTCATACGCATCAATTCACATACACAGACATAGGCCTATGATATATATACACATTAATAAGTAGCCTTAGATGATAAATCACGATTGAGAAATTACAACTTTTTGATATTTTTAAAAGCTTTATTCGCAGAATATTAATTATTAAGTTTAAGGTGACATTAAATGATCTTTTACTCTTTTTTAACGTTTCTTTTCATTTCGTTTAGTTTCCTTTTAATTTCGCGTTGCCTTAAGTTAAAATACGTTAAATTACATTTTCAGTGATATAAACAATGTGACCTTAAGAATCAGAAAGAAAACAGAAACTGCTTAATGAGTAAAACTTAGAATTAACATTAACAATTAATCGTTACGAACAATTTTTGCACGCATTGGCACACTCGACTAGTTAATTAGTAGCTAATTCAGAATGTACACTAAAAAGGGGGGTGAAAATTAATGGGGTATTCACAGTTTTGTTTGGTTCAATATTTGGAATGATTAATAAGATCCTTGTGTAAGCAACTTGTTTTCGTACTTAAGATTTTGCAACAAAATATCAGAAAACGTTAAACCTGAATCCTGAATCTACCTTAGTTTAACCATTTCTGCTGTAACTCCAAGTCACTCTTGAAAATAAACTACAAGTCCAGTCTAAACATGATCTCTTTCTTTGTGGGCATAGCTATTATATATCTTAGTAGAGGAACTTAAGATCAGAGTTAAGGAGGAAATGCCAGACACTAGCTGCTGCTTTACTTGTGAGTTTGGAGCACTCTGGTTGATTTTATCACACTTCAAGGTTTATTTTGCTTCCAGCTGAGGACAAATGCTGTTCGTTCCTTCTGAAGAAGCAGCTTTTTTATGTGCCTTGTCAGTTTATTTGGGTAAATCCCAAACAAGACACAGAGTGTATACTTTTCGGACAAAGTGGTCTAGATAAATGCCCCTTAAGGTACATAAGGCCTAGACAAAATCTGTGATATCGATGCTGTGGTAGCGTTGCAGAGATCCCAATCGCGTGTGTGGCGAAGGACGGAGGCAGATCACGCATTCCTCCGTGCTGAAAATCAATTGTGATTAGTAACAAGTAACAAGAACAACAGAATGGTAAAGAATCTGGGTGTTGGTTTATAAAAAATATAATACTTTAATCCGAGCGCCTAGGGTGTGTAGTAAACTATCATGCAATACTTAATGACAAAACGATATGCTCTACATGTATGTTTGGGAAATCTCTGTGTCGTATACATATTTGTGTGCACTGTTCATTCATAGTGTCCGGTGGGCACTGGACTTGTTGATGTCAGTCTACAAGAAACGATAAACGGAAAAAAGAGGGAAAACCCAAATCAGAATGATACGGAAATAAATAAGTAAGAACATATAAGAGATATCGAAGACAATCATGCAGAAAACATATACAAATCAGGTTTTAGATAGGAAACTGTGTTAGTAATTTAAGCGAAGCGAGTGCAATTTAGTTCGTGGAGTAGGCGTTTTGAAGGAGAAGAAAAAGCATATACATGAGCATTGCGTATACGCACCGTAGACTTTCGGTTCGCGATCTCAGCGAGTAGTCTTTTGAGGCGCGATGCCTGAAATGGAAATTTTAATTGGTTAAATGACAACAACAGCGAACGACGACGACAACAACAGCGAACAACTAAAATAGCATTAAAAGTGCAAAGTGTAAAGCCAATATGTCAGGAGCCGGGTTAATATATATTGTCCAACAACAACAATGCGTTAGAATGCTTAAATGAGTGCAGGTGCAGCCATCGATGATTGATTCCCAATTGGTAAGCCCACCTGCGATTCTTGATGGAGCTGTTGCGGTGGATGTTCCTGCTCTCGCGCCACCGCGTGAGTCGATGCCTCAGCGTCTGGCGCACCTCAGAGTTTAGGAAACAGTAGAACAGAGCCACAAAGAAGCCCTAAGAGGGAGTATTTTAGATAAATTAATGATTACGAATGTAAGAGTAGTGCCATACATACCTGTGTGCTGAGAAGGAAGGCTCTTATGGCCTCGAAGAGATTACGACTGATTCCCTGTTCCGGGCCAGTGAGCACCACCAGATAGGTGATCCCGAACAGAGGTATCAGCACCAGTAGCGCCTTCGAGGCCTTATAATACTGCCGCGTTTCCAGCGTGTGCGCAGAACGCAATTTAGTGATGAGTACCTGGAAAATGAAAAAAGCAAATTATCAACTTGGCCATGCTAAAAATCGTATTTGGTAGACTCACCCACATGATGCGTATGAGAAATACTAAATTAACAAGCAAGGCCACTGAGGCGGGTCCCTTAAAAATCCAGTCAATATGAGATTCACGCATCCAGGCGCACTCAATATCCAGCTTTGAAAAATCACAACCAATTTAGAGTAGTTCAAGAATACTAAATAGAATATATGGCCTACCCCATTGAAATGCTCATTCTCGAGATGTGGGGCAAATGTCTTGGCAATGGACCACACCAAAATGCATATGGCTGGACAGCCCCAGCCTATCAGGGCGTAGGTTATAAAGCTAATGTTATCGCTGGAGAACGTTTGCACCACCAATGTGTACAGATAGAGGCCTTTATAAAAAGCGAATGATAAAAAAAATCAATTCAATAGAAAAACCGCCTTTGAACTCACCCTCCACAAACATCCAGAAAAAGTTGGTTAGGTAGAAGTATTGATACATGATGACCAGCGTTATGCAGCCAGCCTGACTAGACTCTGTGGTTATCTGAGCAAATAATTAAATTACGGGTAGGGAAAAAATATGCTTTCATTTGACGTACCACTTGCAGAAATAAGGTGAGAATCCACAGGAGGGCTGAGGTGGAATAGGCTACGAATAGATTCGCATGAATGGTGTTTCGAAGACAACGCAGATCTCTACAAAAATGACAATTTTTTATTTACGGCATTTAAAATGTTAAAGACCTAAACCCACTTAAAGCTGAGGAATATGATGAGGGCCACCACCAAAGTGGCAAAGCTTAGGAAATAACCACAGGTATATATAATGGCCGGCAGATCGACATTGGGTGAAAAATCCGGCACTACGGGTATGGAACCCGAGTTCTGGTGACAGCGATCATAGTCCGAGTAGCGATCCCAGGTGCCATTTGCGAAACAAAAGCGTGTGGCGTTTTCTAAGTATACAAAAGCACATTACTTAAAGTTGATATATCAAATATTAAATACACACCTGTAGTGTCGTAGTGCACGCCCTTGAATTCCTCGAAACAGGGTAAAACAGCCAGGCTGCCGGCATTTGTGCGGGGCCAACACAGCACCGAATCGAATGAACTGGGGCATTGTAAAATCTGTAAAAACAACAGACCATTTCGGATTACGAATACACAAGGATTGGCTAAGAAAACATAGCTAGGTAAACATTGTTAACGATTTAATTCTGATGTGCCGCACAGTAATTAAGTTTCCCTTTTTGGCTGCGCTCTATAAACGAACCTGACCTAACTCAAAAAACCATTAAATCAGAGTACACGAGATTTATGGACCAAAACTGGCACAATATCTTGATGTCTACTCCTCTGGTCCTGTACTTTTATAGCTGTGACGCATGATGTATAAATGTTCATATACAAGATTTTCTTTTAATCAATTGAATTTCCAAATTTTATACACATACACAGTGTATACCCAAAGAAAAAAAGCCATCGCTTTATTTATATATTTGCAATGGCGTGCTAAACAATTTCGTACAGACGGATATACAAAGTATATAGTAATGTTAAGTATACGACCGGGCGGCGATTGTTTACCCAGTCTAGTTCGTACCGCCAAATTAATCGCGGCAGGTGAGGGCAGTGTTATAAAAAGAACCTCCATTGATATTTTTATTGGCCTTATCAGGTGACGCCGAAAACCCGAGACTCGATGAAATCTTTCTTCAAAATTGTCAATTATTTTATGGCTTCTACTGATAAGCTAAAGCTTTTGTGACAGCTAATGCGATCGGACTTAGCCACGCGACAAAATGAGCTGTCAACGAATAAGCCAAACACAACTGGGAACTCCGGCAATATTTGTCTTTGCACTTCTTATTCACGTTTATTAGGCTCTTCATTTGGTCACAGTCATGAGGTAAACATTATGACAGTTCCAACGAATAACGGCCTTGAATTGCTGTGCCACACCAATTTGATCATGCATTCGAGGTAAACAAAAACGCCAGAATGCAGTCTCAAGTGGGTTGCCTTGGGCTTACTAATGTTTACAGCCAAGAGGAATACATAAATAAATCTGTGCTGCATTTTCCGGAAATAAAATGCAGCTTAAATATTTTCAAAAAAATTTATCTGAAAACTATCAGCAGTTCAGTCGCCAGTGCTTGCATGTTTTGGATTTTAAAACCCTAGAGATTGACAGGCGGATGTATTGAAGGCAATTAGTTTGAGAAACGAGATTGATCAATTAGCGATTGAGATTAATTGGGAAATGTATTCGTTCTCGAAACAATGGCTAATTAAAGAATATTTATAGATTGGCTTGTTTCTTATTTTGATTGCCATAAAAAATGTTTATTATTCAATTGAAAATGATGAATGGTTGTAAACATTAAGATTCCCGTTATCCAGAATCTAGATATATAAAAAAGAGAGGTTGCATGTTTTTTTGTAAATTTATAAAACATATATATATATGTATTTTAAATTTAAATACGTTTTGGTAAAATGTATAGCACTTGGGAGTTGTGTCTCATTAGAGGGATAGTGTTATCAAATAATAATAATAATTATCTGCTAATTGAATCGTTTAAATATAATTATACATTTCAAATTTCAATTTAAAATAGATAAATAAAGTCAATCAGCTTGAACATCTTATAGATTCATTTAATTACTGAGTAGTCGGATTGACATATATACATTGCGATTGCCAATTAGTAAAATGAGGGTGGCACTTGTGCCTCTTTAGAGAAATTAATAATGTTTTGAATTACATAAATGCTAATAGAATCGTTGAATTATTATTACACATTTCTGAACGCATTTAAAAGTGTGTAACTGTAGTCAATCATCTGGAACATCGTTTAGATTTTTTACGGCTTAGTCGGGCATTAAATTAGAGATGCCAATTAGTAATACATATTGTTAAAATAAGTGAAGCACTTGGGAGTTTATGCCTCTTCAGAGGGATTAAGCGCCGGCCACACAGGACTCACCCGCTTGCCGCCAGCTGTTAATGCCTCCAGGTCCGCCTGTTCCTGGCACTGCTGCGTGCGGTTGTGCAGCAGCGCCCCACTGTGCGGCTGCTGCTGGGCGCCAATTAGGGCGCTGGCCCGCTGCAGCATGTCCAGCGAGAAGTTGGCGATGACCTTGGCCAGGTCCTCACGCGAGGCGTCATCCAGGCTGTCGACCAGAGCCCGCAAATCGTCGTCGGCCATGTGGGGAAACCAGGAGCACACGGACGATGGGCGACGATGGTGCAATATGGAAGACAGCAGGAACCTGTCAGCGAGGCGTCTCCGCTCCTGAACTCTGCCACTCCACGGGCACTTTCTCTCTTCGCCGTGCGATGCGCAATTAAACGAATCTGCTCAAATAAACCGAGTGTGGCTGGGTGCAAACGAGAACAAAAAACATACATTTCTTTATCAGTTTAAGTAAAGAGTCTTGGCCACCGAAAAAAATCAGATACCAAACCATGGAACCCAGAACCCATTACTTAGGACCCAAGAAGAGCCTCCGTCTGCTCATATAGACATATAGATATGCTATATATTGCTTTATATTATAAAACACTTTATTTGCTTGCTGGTTTAATATTTCGGCTGCCATGACTCATGAAAATATAGAGAAGGCCAAAACTCAAGGGTTGTGTTGATTGACGGAAATAATTAAAGCATCACATATGTATATACTTGCTAACTAGTAGATAATTCACCGAAAAACACTTAATTTCTTCGAAGGTGAGTTGTTTTCGTCTTCTATGTTAATGTATACAAGTTATAAGAATTCTGTACAAATAGTACATGAGAAAATCACGTGCCTGGGCCTTCTTTATGGGGAGTGGCTCAGATTAAATGTAGATAACTGCGCCACAATCTTTATGGACAGCGGACTGGGTTTCTGATGGGTAACCGAAAGGGCAGGAATGAGGTGGAACATTTTTCCGCTGCAAATACTCCGTAATTGAACACTTTATATGGCGCACGGAACGAAAATCGTTCCGGACCGTCTGTCATTATATTTTGGCCGCACACCCCGCACCCCAATTACAGGGTCTCCCAGCCATTAGATCCCCATTAGCTGCAATAATTTTAGTTGCTCGATAATGTTTGCTGTAAGCTGTCGTAATGGAGATTGCGAAAATAGTGATAAGCTTTCCGATTCACACGGGTGAGAACTGGGTTTTTAAGATACTTGTGCCTAGGTACAATTTGTTGGTACCTTTTTACTTACCAAGGTACATTTTCATTTACCTTTAGAATAAACTATGTAAGGTAAACTAAACTAAACTATCTTTATTTAAGTGCAACTTTGAAAGGAATCTATTGACCTAAAAATTATTAATTCATCAAAAAATGTTAATTAACACATATATTTCTTACCTCACCATTTTTATTTATTTTCGCCTAGGCTCAAAAAACTAGTACCTTTACCAACACGAATTAGGGAATACCGTAACTTAAACGAAACTGATTAGGTTGATAAGTCACCTGGTCAGGAAAATTATTAATAGTTTGCTTTTATACAATGTCAGAAGTTCTGTCTTTGGCAGTTATGAATTTCGAAAGACATGTGGGCTTATTACTCTATGGAACATATAAAAACTAAAGGTCACGCATAGCCATTACATTGAACAATTAAGCAAGAAAGTAATTAAACTAGTACGACGGCCGTAACTTTATCTGTTAATTGTGGCAGGGGAGGCTGTGACAGATGTGTATGCCAGGTGCATGTGCGTTTCCACCTGGCAACGTGCTGTGTACCTGCTGAATGGACGGGGACCCTCCTTCTCCTCCTCATTGCCGTGATTAAAACAAAGAGTGTCAAGTTATTTATTAATGAACAAATACCATGGCAGCGAGCTGTTCCCTGGGTCGCCGACTCATCACATCTCATCTCATCTCATCTCATCTCATCTCGACTCGACACGACTCACGCACAAAGCTTTAACCGCTTTAAGTGCGGGAACCAGATGAGCTGATGGCCAGGGGCTTTGTCAATGTCAACTCGGGGAATGAGATAGCACCGGCATTTGGGCCCTGCATATGTTCTGGCCATATCTGCGAATGTCAGGGTTGGGGGCTCAGTTGAATGGGCAATCTTGGCCATGTCCGACCTGCTAATTACGCTCTATAAATAGCCTCGCAACAACTTTGATCTCTGGCACGGTGTGGGAAATTCCAGCTGCACCTGCAACACCTGCTATCCAAAGAATTTGCCTAAGAAATTCCAAGTGGGTGGTTTCCTTTTACCTTTTGTTGTTACTCGCTCTCTCGTGAAATTTTATCTTTAATTTTGTCCTTTAAAAGTAAAAAAGTGTGCCAAAAATTGCTCATATAACCTTTTAAAGAAGATTACCCACATTTTTGTTTTTTAATTCCATACCTTAAACGAATTTAAGCCAAAAATCACAAGATGAGCAGCCCCACTTTTTAAAAAAGAACTCCCACATATTGGTTTCTATTTGTAACAAGGAGAATTTTTAAATTGGAATGTGCTTAGCCAAGAAGCTCAACAGATTAGTTATCAAATTACAATAAATATATATAATAATAAATATGTTTTCCCTGTGTAAGGATTCAATTAAATTGAAAGCGGATCCTGGAAATGGCCTCCTCCTTCACCATCTCAAATATTCTTTCACCTCACTCCCTTTTCCGTGTGCAAATATTTGACTTCAATCCCGAAATGGCCAAAAATCTGGCATAGAGAAGTCGTCATGCCACAATCTTAAGCTCTCCATCCAAAAAAGAAGCAGCGATTTATTTATGAGCTTGGCAAACAAGCGCATTTTTTGGACTAGCGCGTGCTTGTGGTTATCGCCATGATAATGATCGTGATCATGATCATCGCAATAATCAACATCCATGTCATTTGGAGCCAATGGAGGGGCAACTAAACTGGCCTTAAATGCGCCACAATAAGACGCCCAGCAGTCAAATAAACAATTCAAATGTTTGACCAATGTAAATAATAATAGTGTGCCGCCTAGTCAGTTTTAGCCCAATCGTGGGCATGTCGTGTTTGCCGCTGGTGCAACAGGGCGTATGCCTAATATTCGCTGGCCACTCGCTGCACACTGTTCTCCAATTCGCTTTTCTTTCTACTGCTGCTCTGATGATTTATGGAGTGTCAAAACAAATGAAAATTAATTGGCAATCGGCATGTGGGCAATAGGAAAGCTAACGAAGACGGACATGCAATCCAAAACATGCGCGGTAGGCCCTCAAAGTCAACCGATTAATAACGACCATGGTGTTGGAATTCCAAGAATACCATAATTCAAGGAACTTCCTCATTATTTAAAATGTATTACTTGGAAAACATATTACTAACAATAATTACGAATAAATTAATTTCTCAGAACCTGAAAAAATAATAAGAAATCCAACTTTTCAAATCTGTAAACTTACTCAATAAATACCAAAATAATTGCATTTATCACTGAGTAACCTATAAAGTTCTCCACGAGATCAGGGGAACACCATGAATCGAACCATTTCCCAATGTATTTATTTGTTACAAGAAAAAATTAAATTAAATCCATATACACAAAAATAACATCTATGTTTGAATAATTAAACATTTTCTCTGAATTTTGAAAAAATTTCTTGGCATAATAAAAAAACACACAGAAAAAAACGCAAAAGTGAAAAAAATATTAAATTATTTATTCTAATAAACATCGTTAAATTGCTAATAAAGATAAACTTCCAATATCAATCTTAAGTTTATACATATATACCTAAACCATATTCAAAATGAACGTAAACATGTTGCAATACATGAATTGCGTTCAGTGCAAAACTATATTCTCTTCATATCAATTAAAAGACCCAAAGCCAATGCCTAATGACAGTTGGCCTGCGTGATAAAAACCACGTAAATGAAATGTACTGAAAAACACGAGCGGTAATAAAAATAATGGGCCAGCAGGAAGGCGGAAAGAAGCTTTATGAATGAACGAGCCCGCCCAGCGAAGCGTTTAGAAATGAGAAGTCAGAAGTCAACGACGGCGTCAGCTGGCGGACAAATCAAATCGAAACGAATCGAATCGAATCGCATCACATCGCTCGAATTAAATCGAACCCAATGGAATGAATGGCAGGCGCATTCAGGCGCTATCATATCGATATTTATGGTTTTGGCCCCGCTGAAAACAAATAATGGAAAGATGCCGAGCATCGTCATCCGCCGTCATTCATATCCTCTTGACCATCACCCCGTGAAACAAGGCAGTCTAAGGCCAAGCAAAACACACAGACACAAACACAAACACAAACACCCACGCACATGCACACGGACTTGGGAAAAGTTTACAAATTAAAAGAAAATTGAAACGAAACCAAACACAGCCAGCAGAATGGGGCACATGGCGTATAAGCAACGAGGAACAATATCAAGCATACGCTGCGTTGCCATACGACTTCATTTCATATGCTTACTAATTTTATTGGCTTACAACGGCATAACAGATTCTCAAGATGCTTTGAACTCGCAGGACGCGGGACTGTGGAAACGTAAAGTTGTTTAATGCCCTACACCCAAACAGAAAGTTGAATAAAGTATATATAAAAATGAAACAAAAATATTTCCCTTTTCATTTGCAATTTTCATACAAGTTGGGCAACGGAGCTGCGGGCATTTTATTGCCTGTTGCATGGCAGGTAAAGTAAGGGAGTCAGGAGTCATGGAGATACACATACAATCTCGTGCATTATAATGCCACCCACTCAGGGACGCGCCCAAATACATAAACATGATGTAAATTTAAAATTTCATGAGTTCATGTAAAGTTTGTTTTATCTGTTTTATGGCAGCAGTGCCAGGGGCACTGGCTGCAAAAGGGGTAGATAGAATCAGATAAAGATACAGGTGGACTGCCTGCCAGCTTCATGAAGAGCAAACTACGAGCAGCTGCTGGTGGAGCAATCAATACGTATGAGAAAACTCAATTAGCTATCTGCAATATTCGCTGTGCAAACAGCGGATTAAAGAGGAAACATAGACAAAAATATCTGAATAATTGACTTTAATTTGCAGCATAGTGTGATCGGATGTTTGCTGATGAAAAAAAAAAAGTTGATTATAGGATACAATTAGTTTTTCTTAAATGAAAAATAAATTGTGATACATATTTTTTGATTGTATTTAAACTAAGTAAAATAAATCGTTTACCTTATACTAATCTGATCCTAAAACGGTTTCCGATATGATATTGATTTTGTTTGATAACGAAACAGCTAAAATCAATCAAAATCGATATGGCACTTAACTTACAATGTTTTTCTTCCTGTGTAAAGGTGTCTGACAGTTGAATAGGAAGGGGAACATGAACTTAAAAGCCAATGGAAAAAAGTCAGCCAGTTCCAAAAACACACAAAGTGCATTTAGAGTTGGTAGATTGAACAAAAGTCTCTTGAAATTGGCGCACTTACACTCGAAAGCCATTTGCTAATTTTCGCCCATCCCCCAAAAGTTTTCCCGCACTTACATTTCCCCATTGTTCCGCCGTCTTACAATCGAGTATAATTAAATTTTCGTATTTACTTAACAATTCATATTCGAGAGTCGCAAACAACTTGTGTCTCGAACGCACTCTGTTATTTTTACTCCCTGTTTACCTTTTGGGGAAGGCGACCTAATGAATGGGGGAGTGCGAGTGGAACTGGCGAATATAAAGGGTGAATATAACAATTGTTTATCTTTGCTCAATAGCAATAGCAACAACACCGTGTGGGCCTGGGCTTGGTGCAGATCTGAAATATGCATGAGAGAAGAATTTTGCAATGCAGTGAGGATGCAGTGCCCATCCTGCCGGATAAGAATTAATTAAAAAATCCCAGTGCAGGATGCAGGAGACCGAGAACGAGTGGCCAGAGGGCGGGTATGTTGTACAGGAGGATGCAAACAGGACATGGTGTCCCCCAAGCACCTCGAGGTTCTCTTTATCCGGGAAAACGAGTCGTAAACATGCAAATGGAGCACAAACATTTGCATATATGAGATAAAATCAGAAAAAGGCTAAACTAGTAAAAAAACATAAAATAATCGTATACAGAGAAAACAACCATTATTAGTTGGATATTAATTAATCTAAATGCAATTAACTATTTTTAATGCAATTTTGCATTATTAACTAAGTTCAATGGCTAATATTATTATATTCAACCGATTAAAATATATATTTTTTATAGAAGTCAAAAAGTTGTTGGTTTGACTTAAATTCTACTTTAAGTTGCAATGATTTAAGGTAAATATATACATATATATGGAAAACATATTTTTTGAGTAAGCGGATTAAGTCCAATATCGTCTTATATATGTTTTAAATAATCTTTAAAAGAAAACTAATTTTGATTTTTGAATGGCCATCGAAAACACAATTTATCCAATTAAATCAAAAATGTTGATTTATGCTTAATATATATATATATATAAATGGAGAACATATTTTTTGAGTAAACGGATTAACGGCTAAGTCGAAGATCGACCTATAAATGTCTTAAATAGTCTTTAAAAGAAACCCAATTTTAGCATGGCAACCAAAAACACAATTTAGCCAATTAAATCAAAAAATTGTTTATGTAAATTCTGGTTTTTGTTGTGTATCATCAAAAAATATATATGGTATATTGTTCCCTGTGCACGTGGCCCTCCCCCTTTCACCACGGTAATTTGTTTTCGCCTTTTGTGAAGCTGGCAGCGGATAATCCGACGGCCATTGAGTCTAATCAGACGTTTATTCTTCAATTTAAAGTCTATTTGCGGACTTCTCCATTGTTTGCTAATGGGAGCAAGCTGCTAAGTGATCATCGCCACTTGGGTTTTGATTTGGTTTGGTTTGGTATGGTTGTGTGGATTTGGAACCAGTACGCCTCCCATGGCGCTTTTGCGGAATGTTTTTATGGCCCCGGCAGTCCGGCAGTATTTGCCCAATTCATTATGCACCGGCCGAGGAATGGATCTTTTGGGATGTTTTGGATCGTTTTGAGGGTCAGGGTTCCACGCTCCCCCTCACTGCTGAATCCGCGAATTAGCGACCCACCTCTCACTCACTTGGTGTTTTTCTTTTTGCTATTTTGCACCTCTTTTCTTGTACAGAGCTTTAAACGTTTATCGCCTTTTTATCATTATCATTTGTTTGTTTGCATTACTTAACACGCACGCACGATCGGAATGACACATTTTATAAACTTCAGAACACGTTTAATTTTAGATGACGCCGAAACTACTTCCCGAAAACATGAAAACACCAATCCGAATCGAAAGACTAACCAGAATAACAGCGAATTTAAGTCGAATAAATGGAATTAAGCCTGCGGCGCTTGTGGTGTTTTTTTTTTGGATGCTGCGCTCTGTGCGAGATGGCGAGATAATCGGAGGAGCATCAGCCGGACCGAGATTACGGGTAGTCCAAAGTGACACGACACGGCGATGAGACGGCGGCATACGCGTCCAAAGGCGGCCACTGACAGCGCCAAACTGCGGCCAACGGGGCGGATGAAAATGCGAGCTTTGAGGAAAAGCACACCTACACACCCACACGGGCACACAGCTGAAAAGTCTCCCACATCGACAACAATGCAGGATACAACAACAGTTGAGGCCAACAGTCGCCGCAACAAGTTGAAAAGCTCTGTGGTTAAAAAGAGAGAGCAAGCTAGAGAGATAGAGTAGAAATTTCTCCCCATGAGACCGGCGTTTTTTGAGGTATTTGCATTCAACTGACGCGATTGCAGTGATTCTTATTCTGATTGCGATTACTATGGCCTGTCAGCTGCAATTGACACTCAAGCTGAATGGGCCGCCAAATGGGTTTTGTTCACTTTCAACAAGAATAAGACATTTAACACCCTGCGGGCTTGGCAAACACTCAAAGGGATTTCGGCTCGCTATTTACCTGGCAATCTAATTTACAAATCAAATTGCACCAAATTAGATTCTAAGCACTTATAAACTTATTAATATAGTTCAACAATAGGCCCTTACTAATGAGTATTAAAAATAAATTAAGAAAAAAAGTAAAGGCTATCGAAACTAAAGTAATAATATGCTTAACATTTAAGAACCTTTGTGAATACTATTTAAGATAACAGGTAACAAAAGGTTTGCGAAAGTCGTTAAAAATTCATTTTTTTTGTCAACATCAATGTCTAACCTTAAATTATTATACTTCTTTGAACTCTTTATCGAATTTCTAATTGATTATTTGGTTTTTAATCACTTTCCTGCCAGGCATTTTAAAAAATTTAGAAAGATGTGAAATCTTTATCAAGAAAAGCGACGCAAAATTAGAGACCATATTTTAAACGCAGTTTTGTAGAAAAGGAAACCAAATTCCTTCTTATACATATTCCTTATTTCCTCAGCTCCATTGAATGAAAGGAGGCGCGAATATTCATCAAAAAGAAGAACATTAATATTTTGTATATAAAAAAAAAAAAATATATAAATTATAAACACATTTTAAATGATGGAGTTTATTTTGAATTTTAAGCAGTACTACCTATGGTATTTGTATATAATTTAGTTGGCCAATATATTGTAATAACATAAAACAGTATTTTGAATTACAAAAACATTTTTTTTAGTTGGCAAAAATTTTTAACAAATAAAACAAAATTATTTTTGAACGAAACTTAAATAAAGAAATACGATGCTCTTTCCTGAATGAAAGAATAAAAATGCAAGTGCTGTCAAACTGTATGCCGCCCAAAATTGTGCTACGCTACCAGAAAACACCTGCAACCCAAAAGTATTCAACAAACTTTTTACGATTCAAGCCGAGCTTAAAATAACAAAATGCTGCCTACTTTTAAGCTGCATAAAACTACTTTTATTCATTTTCCCAAAGCGTTCTATAACAAATATACGAAAAGCCAATAAAAACATTTCAATTACGAGGTGTTCTTAAGTTGATCAACATTATTATTATTACATTTTATTGCTTTGGATTTACGAGTGAATCCGAAGTTGGCGCTGTCTCCCCCCGTGGACGCCACATTTCGCAGATGGACGATTGACTTGGGCAGCTGAAGTCGTATGCAAATTGCCGCAAGTTGTCCACACTCACGTCGACACGCTCATCATCCCGATCATGGGCGATCACCGGTGGCAGGGATCCGCAGAAGAACTGGGCATAGCTCAGGTGGAACAGTTGCGGTGCCCTGAACTCCGACTCAAAGGCATACGGACGGTACTCCAATTTCCTGGAGTTATGATGCAATCCGAAGAAGGAGTCGTAGGCCAACTGGAGGCCATTAAGATCTGCCAGGCGTTCTTTCAACGAGATGGCAGGTTTCCCCTCCGCACACTCGATGGCCTCACGGAATGGTTGCGACTCCCGGATGGCGAGGCCCACAGGTGACTCATTGCCGGAGGCGTCGAAGAGTATGCCCTCCTGCTCGAAGGCGTGGTTCATCTCGTGGCCCAGCACGGCTCCCATTAAGCTCTGTTGGAAAATGGCATGCTGTCGGTGGTCGAACAATGGAAATTGTAGAAACTCCATGGGCACAGTGATGGTGTTCCTTTCGTTCTCATAGAAGGGAGAAGTTCGTGCCTTCAGCACATTGTCGTTGACGTAGTAGCGCTGCAGGTCCACTCTCGACTCCGGTTTCAGTAGACCCGCATGCTGGAGACGGGTTCGCAGGGCCAGAACCTGTATGAGATTGCCCAGGAAACTAGACTCGCTGAAATTGGCACTCTCATAGTGGGTGTCATAGAACTCTGGGGATTTCTCCGCCGGCAGATTGCCCACCTTTAGTTGGATTCCCTCCAATTTAGCTCTCACATAGGTCAACTGATGTGGCGTGAGCTGCAGGCGATTGGCATCCAGGTATTTGCCGAAAGTAGCCTTCAAACTGCCCATGATCTCTACAAGCCGTTGGGTGTCCTGCTCCCGATTTTGGTAAACAAATCTATCGTAGATATAGTTCATACCCAGGGGTAGAAAAGCTCGCATATGATGAATGCAGGTCCTGGGATTCCGCTCTCTAGGTTCCGACTCCTGGATCAGAACCAACCGCCGCACGCGGAGATACATGTCTCTGGGGACGCTTTCGAAGTCCATGAGAAACTGAAAGGCTTCCCGCAAATACTCCACGTCACTGACCTCAAAAAGCAGGTGCTCCAACTCCTTAGCAGTGTGATGCACTCCCAATAGTTGTCCAAAAAGTATATCCCATTTAATAATGGGGATTTGCCGTTTAATTTCACTGTACGTCCATGTATACACAACAGGATTATCTTCTTTATATTTACGCTGCAACTGCTGAAGTTTTGCCATCAACTGGAGCATTTCCTGCTTATCCTTCCAGTCGTGCAATCGCAAAAGCTCCAAAGCCCGAAGAACACTATATCTGGAACTGGGATCCGGCATGCTTATCTGCACCACCCGGCGAGTGGAATCATTTGTGGCCACATCAACGCGTTCATCAAAGAATACGCCATTCAAGCCATGCTCAAGGAACATGCCAGACTCCTCCTGCAACCATCGCCAAACTACTTGAGGAGGATCGTTAAGGTTTAGTTTTGATGTATCCCCTGTACAGGCTTTGTAGTATGTTCTCATTTGTTTGATCAGTTGCGGTGCTTGCGTGTCGTTATCTCCCACCCGGCTCTCCATGAACTCCACCATGGCCATGGCAAACTGATCCTCCACCCACTCAAAGTTGTCGACATATTGCGAGGCATTGGCAAACCCGCCGCAGGCAAAGTTCCAGAACTCCGTGCAGGGTGATGATGTTCTGTTAAGGTTCTTGTGTATCTGGCTGGAAGTGGCCACGTTGATATCCACATCCGCCTGGATGAAAGGCGATAATGTTATTAGGCAAATGCACAGCAAAAGTAAACTTTCCATGTTGTTTGCTCGACTCGTACTAATGAATTCGCGAAATGAAACAAACAACAGCTTATCGCTGAGCTTGGAAACCTTTGATGATTATGAATATAAAGCTTTTCTACTTTGTACATATAATCAAAACACGCTTTGTGACTACATTAATCCGAGCTTAGCGTTTATTGAATCTGATCGTTAATTACAGCACTGTTGTAGTTCAATCTTCAATAATAAGCTAAGGCAGTTCGCAATATAAAACAGGTAATCGTTTTGGGACTACCCCAACTATAGCTTACAGTCTACTTAAACAAACTGGATCTAAAAAGTGTTCATTTCTTGAACTTTTGCTTCTTTGCCGCATTCGCTCCCGTCTTGGATTTTTTCAGATTGCCGATTTGCTTGGACTTTTGCTTCAGCTTGTTCTGCTTCTTGATGGGCTTGCCCTCCAGAACTGGTAAATCGTCTACGTCTACGCGTGGCGCCTTGGCCAGTTTGGACGCCTTGGGTTTCGCTGGCTGCTCAACCTTTGCCTGTGGTTTCGCTTTAGGTTCCTTTGCTGATTTCTTGGCAGGTGAATCACTGCCATTGACTGGTGACTTTTTGCCCACGGGTTTGGCTGGAGGAGAATCGCTACCATTGGCCTTTGCTTGGTTCTTTTTCTTGAATGATTTGGCATCTGACTTGGCAGCTGGAACATTACCATTGGCTTGGGTCTTTTTAGCTGCAGGTTTGGATGGTGCCTCGGTTCCATTGGTTTTTTCTACCGTCGCTTGGGATTGGATTGGATTTTCCTTCTTCTCCAGTGGCTGTTCGGGCTTTGGCTTTTTGGGTGCCTTGATAGGCTGCTCGAACACCTTGGCCACATACTTGGTCTTGCTCTCCTCCCGCTTCTTCTTCTTCAGCTCCTGCTCGATTTCTGTGAAACTGGGCTTGCCGGCTCGCTTGCCCAGCAGTTTGCGCGGACCCTTGTCCTTTGACGCCTCCTCCTCAACCTCCTGCTCCTCCGTCGCCTCGGCGGTGGCCTCAGTCTCGATGGCCTCGTCCAGCTGCTTCTCATCCTCCTCCTGCTGCTCCTTGGTTATGGGTATGGTGTTGGAGAACTTCTTCAGTTTGGCCACATAGAATCCGTCCATGTTGTGTGTGTGCGGATAGTAGCGCTTGGTGAGGTTCAAGCTGGGATGGAATCTATGCTGCCGGAACTTGGTGAATCCCTCGACGCCAAAGTCCAGACCAGTGGGCACCAACTTGACGTTGCGCTTCTTCAACGCATAGTCGATAACCCATTCGTTCTCCTCGGGCAGCACGGAGCATGTGGAGTACACAATATAGCCACCGGTCGACGATTTCGCATCCGTACAATCGATGGCCGTGAGCAGAAGCTTTCGCTGCAGATTGTAGCACCGCTGAACGTCCACATCCGACTTGGTGGTCTTCACGCTGGGATCCTTGGAGACGACACCGGTGCCTGTGCAGGGAGCATCCAGTAGGACACGATCAAAGCCAGTCATAATGTTCCGGAACTTGGTGCCATCTTCGCAGCTAACCACCGCATTTACAATTCCCAGTCGATGGAAATTGGCCACAACAGCCTTAATGCGATCGCGATTGGAATCGTTGGCGAACAGCACACCCGTGTTCTTCATGATGGACGCAATGTGGGATCCCTTGCCGCCAGGGGCAGAGCACATGTCCAGAATGCGTTCGTTCTCCTGCGGAGCGAGAGCCATCACTGGCAGCAGCGAAGAGGCTCCCTGGATCATGTAGTGACCGGCCAGATACTCTGGAGTGGCACCCAGCGGCACCTGCGAGTTGAAGACCACCAATCCCACCTTGGTCCACTTGCCCAGCGGATCCAAGTTGACGCCACGATTGATCAGAGCTCCAGCTAAGTCCCGGCGACGTGTTTTCAACGTATTGGTGCGAATGGTCAATGGACGAGCGATCTACAAAGATTTTATAAGTGTTAAAGTTGTAATAATATGCCTTTACAAATTCACTCACCTCCGATGCCTCCAGATACTCCATGAGCTCGGTCAGCGGCAACATATCCATTAGCTTCTCCATTAAGAACTCGTTGTAGCTGTAGTACAGGCACAGATCCCTGCGCAGCAAATCAATGTACTCCCCGCGAGATCGATCCGCTTGGCGGTACTTCTTGAAGTCGGAGAGGACCAGGCTGACGTCCTTAATCCGCTGCTGAACCTCCTGCAGGGTGAGATCCTTCTCGGCCTCATCCTCTTCGTTGGGCAATTGGAAAACATCCTGGCGGTCCACGGTTTCCAGCATTTCCTCGTCAGCTAGTTGGGCCTCCTTGGCCTCGCGCTTTTTAAGTTTTTTGTTTGCACGCTCGATGGGCAGCTTGTCGTCATCATCATTATCATCGTCGTCCTCATCCTCATCGCTGTCGCTTGCTGCATCGGCACCATCTTCCTCGCCGGATAAATCAAAGTCATCATCAGAATTGGCTTCTTCGTCATCGGAGAGATCGGCCAGTTTGCCTACTTGTGCGGTGTCATCATCGGATTCCTCTTCGTCCTCTTCTTCTTCGCCGGATTCCTCGGCTTCTAGATCATCCTCGCCATCGGAATCTTCTTCTAGCTCAGCCTCAGAGTCCTCCTCCAACTCCTCATCCTCCTCTTCTCCTTCGGACTCCTCGGATTCTGGTTGTTTGGCTTGCTTTTTCAGCTTCTTGGGCTTCAGCCAGCCATCGTTGTCGTCTGTGAAGCCCTTGGGTGTCGCGGATTTCTGGCTTTTGGGAGCAGGCACCAGTTGGGGCACCTCCTCATCGGAGGAAGCCTCCTGCTGCTGCTGCTCCACCTCCTCTTCATTTTCCGGCTCGCTGTCGCTGTTGTAGGCCGTTTTTCGCTTAGCCTGTTGCGGTTGTTTTCCCTTGGCCCGCTTCTCCTGCAGTTTGGCCTTTTGGACTACTTTCTTCTGCTCCCGCTTCACGAAACGCTGCTTCTGTCGGTGGGATAGCTTCTTGTCCTCCTCCTCCATAGGAGCTGTGAATTAAATAAAACATTTTATGTTTAGATCTGGCTGTCCCAAGGCGAAATCTTCACCAGCACTCACCAAACGTTTGCTTGCGAAATACCGGAGGTCCCTGTTTGCGCGCCTTGCGGCCAGGACCCTTCTTCGGTTTCTCACTATATTCAGCCTTGCGACCCATATTTTTAACTTAATTTATCAGGTTTTTTGGAGCAGAATGGATGAAAAACGTGAGCACTTTGAGTTTACTCCACGTGCGCCGCTCAAAAGACAGCGGATGTTTTCCAGCACTGTTCAGTGCGGACAACATATTTAGCTATATAGCTAGAACATATGTTTATTAAGAGGTATGTTTAATTTAATATGAAAACATAAATTTTATTTAAAATTATAGTTAGTTAGTTTCTTTTTAAAGAGTTGATTTTTTTTTAATTTCTTTACATCATTATTTCAACATATTAATATTTGATAGCTATAACGTTAACGAGGAAAAAAGCCAAATTAGCCACAGCTCTTGTTAAACAAACACATGTTACAACACTAGAAACATATGTTTAGCGAACTGGTTCCAATAACAAGTCCGCTCTTAGGCTCTGCCAAAGAATAAAATTTTAAATTTATTATTTATAAATAAACAATCAACTAAGCAAAGAACTAAAATCATTTGTGTTTGTTCTGAACCAGCTAAATATAGAATGGAAAGGTAGTAAAAGCTATATGAAAGCTTTTGATGTGTTAAGAAAAACAAATTGATTGAAAATTTGAAATTTTAAAATCCGTTACAGGGGCTGCCCACCTGCTGCTAATGGCAATAGTTTGGCAGCCCTGGCTCTCTTTTTGTTTGTATTGGTCACTGGCCGGTTCAAATAACAGCGCTTTGTTTTGCGAAAATCATAAATAATTGCACATCATGGCTCATCAGGAGAAAATAGCTGAATTTAAGAACTGGGCCACCAGTCTGGGATGCCCGCCCTCTGCCCTGCCCACTGATGAAGCGCTGCGAAGGTACGTCATGATGAAAATACAAAAAAACCCGATTTCTAATGGCAAAATTTGGCATTTCTTGAAAGGATCCTAAAAACCGGCTCCAGTTTGCTACTGAACCAGCTGCAATCCCGCATCCAGCCGGTGGAGTATGTACGCGAGGTGCGCGAGAACCTACTGATTGCCCAAGTGGCCCGCCACAAGGACAAAATAGTGACGCTGGCTTCCCGAAGTTTTCTGCCTCCAGAGCTGCAGCGATACCAAAAAATCCAGGAGCTGAAGAAGGAAGAGGAGAAGGCGGATCTACAGCTGGTCGAGGCCAGAAAGGAGTTCCAGAAACTATCCGCCAGCATCAAGACCAAGAGTACGTAAAACTACCCAACCACTACCAACCTAGAAATGCCAATATCTTATATTGATCCTCATAATCCCCTATAGACATTCAAACAATCAAAGCCGAGAACCGCAAGCAATTGCTCGAAGCTAAATGCAATATCCTGGAACTCAAGCTGGAGTCGCTGAACAAGGACTACGAGCAGGAAAAGAAGAACAAGGCCCAGATCCTGGCCACTACGCCCGTAAAGCTGAGTGCCAAGAATGCCAGCGAGGTGCAGGCCACTCGAGCCGTGGAGCAGGCACTCAAGCAGCTGGAGACATTCTACGGGATGTGCGATGAGGGAAATGCGGTACACAGCCTGGCGGAGGCCAAGCAGCGCCTGTGGGATGACATGCGGGCCACTTTTGCCGACACACCCAATGCCCTGCTCCTGAACGTCATCGTAAAGATCAAGGAGGAGCAGCTGCAGCACATAATGCATTTGAATCAGACCAGAGGCACATGCACCATGGCCAAGACACCGCTAAACAACTACGAGGTAAAGTTGCTAAAGACCAAGGCCGATATGCTGGGCCTCGCTTCCAAATTCTTTACGGCCCAAAGGGAGTTGGAACAGAAGGAGGAACGCTTTTGCAAGGAGTACAGCCTCTTTGTGGACAAGCTGCAAACGAAGGTATACAGCATCAATGGCATCAGCTTGGGCGATGAGGAGTACGCCGATGAACTAATCAGCGACTATCTGGTGCAGTACAACATGCGAAATTTCAATCGCGCTCAGAACGAATTCCTGCGCGAGCAGATCGAGCAACTGCGTCTGGAGCTGGATGCGAGCGCCAAGCAGCTGGAGAACCACGACCTTAAGCTGGGCTCTGTCAAGCAGGTGTATGGCGACGTCAATGCCAGTATCAATCGCATCCAACAGGACATGGTGCAGCTGTCGCAGATCAAGGAGAAGATCCTCTATTCGCGCAACATGATGAAGAATCTGCTGGACGACATGCAGGCGGCCGCCCAGAAGCAGAATGCCAATTCGCAGCTGATGAGCACCAAGCTAAAGGTCAGCAACATGTCCATCCTGGGAGCGGAGAGCTTTTGCCTGGCCAATGATAGTGTGCTTTCCAGCACCAAGGTGGATTTCGATGGCAATTGCAGCACCATGAACTCCTCGATGCGTCGCAGCTTTGACAACAAAACAATGATGCCTGGGGGTGCAAGTACCACCACTATGGTTGCCGCATCCGCAGCCACTGTGCCCTCGCACTTGCTGGAAGTCAATACCTTTGTGGACATACCTCTGGAGAAGTTTAGCTGCATGCCACGCGCCAGGTAAATACCTCACATACAGTGGCGGTCAAAATAATGATAGTTTTTCAGCTTATGGGAATGGAAATCATCAAAAACTTGGAAGCAACTTTTGAGAATTATGTTTTATATTCTTAAGAAGTTAATACTTATAACTAAATGGGTCAATTATAAAAATTCACATTTATCATAGGTTTAACAATTTAAAAAATTTTTAATTTTTGAAAAAAAATTGTTTATTTAGGTGTTATAAATTCGTTTAATACAGTATATTGAAAAGGAAAACAATATCAAAGGTTTTTTAAACCTAATTTTGTTTATTAAAAGGTAAACATTAAGATAAAAATGTCCTTTAAAGCAAAGGTTTGTTTTTGAGCAGTTACCATTTTCCCAATAGTTTCATTTTGACCGCAGCAGTATGTACATTCCCATATTTTTAATTAACCAAGAATATGTCATTTTTTCTGACAGTTCCTTTCTGCTGTCGGCCAATCCGCTCATCGTCGAGGCCCAAGAGCTGGCCTCCACCGTTCAATTGGCGCCGGGCTATTTGCTAACTCCCTTCGGCGCTCTGCAGGAAGTCCGCAAACGCATTTTGTGGGCGTCGGCAATTGCCGCACACACGTCTGACTTGAAATTGAATTTGCAGCCGTTAATTGGTAAGCTCAACTCAGACATTTTGTCTCATATCCGGTTGAGTGTGAAAAACAAATCCCTCCTGTCTCCCCAGTTGATCCGCACGATTTGAGGCTTAGGGCGAGTCGTCAGCACGAGGAAATTGACCATTTGCTGGACAACCTGATGGCCATTGGAGTGAAGACACAGTTGCAACTGGAAAAGGCCGAGCGCATCTACCACTTCCTGCTCGAAAATCCGTTGCGTCGCTATGTTCCCCCTGGAAAGCGATATAACAATGGAAGTTTCGCGGACTACGAGTCCGAGTTCAATCTCTACTATCGCATGGCCACCAATGGTGGAGGTTCGGTCAACTATACCAGTGGAAAACATCCCGAGAGTCGCGTTTAGTCTGTTACTAATTTTATAGATACTTTATCGTTCTCATTTACACATATTTGAAACTAAATGAATTTCTTGTTAAAAACTAAAAAGTATTGTTTTTTAATATTTTTATTAATTTTTTTGCTTTGTTTATTTTAGTTTTGTGTTTTGTCGTTTTTTATTACAAAGTCGAAATTTATTTTACTCACACCCACACAAAAATTTGGGTAAAAATTTCTCATTGCGCTTAAGAGCTAATAATGTACACAACTTTTGTTGTATTATTATTCGAAAATGGATTTTGCCTCGACTATGGGTTAAGTTTTATTTTAGGGGATAGTGTTCGAGTTGTCAGATTTGCGTAACGAAAATACTTTATTATTTATTAAATAAAAATAAAATATTCTCTTATTTGTAGAAGCAAAATCGGAATGTTGTGATGTATCTTGCTTAGATTAAAATATTTAAAACATATACAGTGCCAGATCAGAAAGCAAAACGGACGGGATCGAGGTGAAATGCATCGTTTGCGGCTGGTTTGGATTCGAATTTTGCTGCATCGTTGGCCCTTCACTTAGCCTACTTAACTTAAGACATAATATTGGACGTACGAAAATAGAGCTGCACTAAACGGGAACGAGAGAAGAGGCTACCAAAGAAAATGAGACTGGGAACTGGAATCATCATTTGAGACATCTATTGCGCGGGCTATGCGATGTGTTGTTTTTCGATATATCTATTTTATATATGTTTATGCATTCGAGGGCAGAGTGATGGTTATTTGGACTTGGAGGAGCGCTTGGAGTCAGTTGGCTTATCTGGCGAAGAGCAGCGCCGCCAGGATGCCCACCAGGGCGAACGAGGTGGCGGCCACATCCTCGGCCCCGGCGAAGTACGCCTGTCCGCAGGCGGGCGGGCACACGGGGATGATCGTCTCGAAGAGATTGACGCGCGCCTCCGCCTCGCCAAAGCGATTGGTGGCCTTGCACACATAATCTCCGTACTGGCGCTTCTCGATGGTGATCACGCGGAGCGTCGAGTCGGTGTACTCGTCGGCTGTGGCGAAGTGCGAGATGCTGTAGTGCTGGTTGTTGGCCAGCTGGATGTCGTCCTTGGTCCACACGATGGCCGGCGGCGGATAGGCCTCGATGTGGCACTCCAGGTCCATGTCGTACTGCAGGGCCTGGCCCAATCGCGGGCGGGGCACGGTGATCACCGGGGCGAACTCCACCTCCACGTTGATGTTGCGCCGGTCGCCCTTGCTCACGCCGTTGTCGGCCACGCAGTAGTAGGTGCCGCGATCTTCCTTCTTCACCGACTTGATGCGCAGGGTGTTGCCCACGTAGGTAGCGCTATCTGGAATAGGGAGATGGATAGTACGTATTAGTCACCTGTGTTTTTGATTTACTTAGAATGTATTTATAGTTCATAAAATAAATAAATAAATAATAATAAAATGTATGTAGTTCAAAAAATTGATCTATATTTTTGAATATTATTTCTTTTGTTGTAGTAGGGCTATTTCAAGTAAACAATAGTATTATAGAAACCAATGGCTTTCACAGTACATTAAAACTCACAAGGCAATCAGAAATATAATATCTAACACACTTATACGCAAATCAAAAACTTGTAGTTCCTTTCAAAACTATAATACTTTATATAAACATAGACAATTGGTTTTCGAGTGTGGTGCAACCATTTCCATTATGGGCTTAATCTTATCCGCTGTTTAAGCGATGCGCGTTCGAGTGCGAAAACATCCACTAGCCATTAATGGAGCAGCTCTAAACGCTCTCGGGTGGCAATGGCAATCTATTGTGTTTGTGCAGCGGGAACAGAGTCAAAAATCCGATTTTAATGAGCCAACCCGGGGCACATCCGTTGGCACTTGCGGGTGACCTTTTCCAGTAGTGTCCACGCTCCGCAGAAGGCGCCCAGAGAAACAGGGAAACAATGGCAGCGTTAATGACCTCTAACAAGTAAAGCATTTTGTTTGGCCCTCTGCTCGTTTGCGTTTGCGTTTGCGTTGCCAACTAATTTTGAAAAACGGAGTACGCCTGCACTTAGCCATGAGTGCACGGAAGGAATGGGATTGGGATTGGGATTGGGTATGAGCTGAGCAACTGAAGCGTGAACCTGAATGGGAATAGGAATTGCACTACGAATGCCGAATGCGAAATGCAAAAGGTGCTCCGGGTTCATAACCGGAAGTTGGTTGGCTCAGCTCGTCGGGGGAAAAGAGGGCGGAATAGGTGGTGTACGAGTGCAATGAGCCTAGGGATCTGCTCCCTCGTCCACACACAGATACTACTACTACCCGCTTATGTGTGCGTGTCTGTGGCTGCTCTTCAAACATTTGCCAAAACAATTCAGGCTCAAACAATTGACACAAAGTACATGATGCAAAAGTGCACTGGCAAAACGATGTTGCCCTTGTTTTTGTAAACGTTATCTCAAACACTTAAAAATAGTAAATAAACCAAGGACCGTAATCTTTATAAGCGAAAAAACCAAATCGAAACAAATGATTATTTACAGTTTATGGGCAAATACGTAACTCCGTTTTTGAAATGGTTTTTATAAAGAACGCAACTATTTTGTATTAAATGTGTGTATAAGTGCTTTGTGGTTCAACCAACAAGTACACTATTTAATCTTGTAATAATTCCTTTTAAACTTATTCATGTTAAATCGTAATAGACACCATAATCAAAGTGTTTAAAATAATGTAAGATTGTTAGATGTAAAGTGGTTAACAAATAAAACCCAAGCTAAACTAAGCTTTGTAACACGATTGAAGTTTTTTTCTCTGTGTTCAATAAAGAGTTGAGCTGCAAGGAGCCGTAAAAACATCAGGAGCATTGACCAAAGCTCTGGAATGCCATGAAAATATGTTTTATGCGAATTGCACATAAATGCGGGCCACAAGCCAAAGGGGGGGAAATTCGAGTGCGGCTTGTGTCTGCTCAACTGAAACATTTCAAATTAATTGCGCCTGGGAATCGAAGTAACACATTTCATTAAAATTGGATTGACAGCCCATCCCCCTTCGCCCTAAAACAGAGCAATCGTGATGGCAATGGGTTAAGGCGGTGGCCCAACAACTGCATCGGTTGACGAGCTAAAATGGCATCGTGATGCGGGCATCTGAGAAAACAACGCAGCAAACTCATTTCAATATTAGAAAAGCACACAATGAACAGAAATATGCTGTAGGCAAGCACGCTTCCCGATATATGGATATATATTTCAAAGCAGACTTTTTGAGTGGGAGAGAGCAGGCGAGGGCTTTGTTTAATTAGTCCAATGGAAAATGATTCGCTTTGGATTATAGTGTCATGAGTAAAAGACATTTGTGTTTGTATAATTAGGAAAGAACCCAAAGTTACAGACTTAAAAGAAAATTTTTTGTTTTTCAGACTCTCTTCTTGAACAATATTTTACTAAAACATATTATTTTTAGGAGGTTTGATGTTAGCAAACCAGTTTACAAGCTAGCAAAACAAGCAATGATCATTTTATATAATGTCATAATCTATGTTTTAGAATATTTGAAATATTTGAAAATAATAATTTTTTCAGTGCAACTGCAAATTATATGCGGTAAACAACTACTCTTTTTCATTATTATTCGCACAATAAAACCCACAAAATCTTCTCAGGTCATAAAAGACAGCATTAATAAAGATGCAAGTAGTTAAAGTTAACTACTCTCTGCCCTGCAAGTAAAATCAGTTGCGTTTGTAATTTACAAGCGTTCACTGTGCCTATTCAGAGAGTCGGCGCCCAAAACAGGTTCTTTCTCTACATCTAGCCCAGAAGTCATCTCAGTTTCTGTTTTTGTTGTCCTCTACCTTGTGCAGTCAGCTCTGTTTTTAGCAGCATGACTTCAGTCCTTTATATTTGTAGTACATGCCAGATAACCCTAGATCGAATGCAGTCTGTAAATGCAATTATGCATTTATAGTTCACAGGCTACCCACTCGAAATACGAAATGGGTAAGCCCAACATAGTGTTAAATGTTACTACTACTTTTTATTTCTTTTTTGATGGACTACTGCGCATTCACTGAGCTGTGAAATGATATGCAAGTCAGGTACAAAGAGAGCCCAGGAATTTCAGAACTTCAAACGTTCCCAAACATTTGTCGCCTGTAAAACGATTTACCGTTAGCATGTAAGAACTGAAAAAAAACTCTTTATGTTCTGCGTGGAGGTCGCGCATGTGCGTAATTGGGGCGTGCCAGAAAGTGGCAATATTTAATTGTTAATTAGTTATGCGACACAAACAAAGAAGTAGTAGCTCTCTACAAAGAGAAAAGAACGAATACAGCTGCCAGTTTCTTGAATGCAAGATATTTCTCATACTCTCTTAGTAATTAATGCAGAATGAATACCATGAATTAACTCCAGATCCAATGCTTGCGACACTTTCGAGGGTTCAAATTCATGAACTAGAGCAGAAAGTCAATGAAACAGAACACCCTTAATGGTAGATGAATGGCTTGTGTCAGTGAATTTGAGATATTCAAGAGTTCATAAATCGAAAACATTGTAATGGCGTTGAATTACGAAAACCAGACTCATATATCACTCGCAAACGAGCTCAAGGCAATGGTTGGCTTAGGGTTTTCTATATACCTTTTCTTCGATCCATGATCCATTTGCTATTTGAACCTTATGTTTTTCCCTCTGTTTGCTATTCCCCCAAGACCTTTTTCAATAACTAACCAATACGGATTGACAAATTAAGAGTAAATTTCAGTTCAATCAAACTAATGAGAGAGGCTACAATGAAAATCCCGCATTTCAAAGACCCAAGGAATATACAACGGAAATAGCTCTCAACTCCATATCATGCCAGCAAAACAAGAACATCCATCACACAGAATGGTGTGGAGTAATTTCAGTTACTAATGAGAGAATTAAAAACACTTTGCAACGGGCGGGATGATGATGGTGCGTCCATCTCTGACTCGGCAATCTCTGACAACTAATGAAAGGAAAACAGAAACTCAGAGATT